AATAATGACCCGATAATAAATCATTGTTTTTAATAATTGAGTAGCATAAAAAACAAAGTATATAATTACAGTTTACTTCAGAATAGATATGTGTAGTGTAGGCTTGCAATTTTGCCATGTCGCCCGGCGATGCGGGTTTGATTCCTCTTGCACGCTTATGTTTTTGTGTGTACTTTTATGTTATATTTTAAAGTATTTAGTTCTAGTTATATGTGTAATGTATATGATTGTTGGTAATAAAATGTTATATTGTTTATATAATTTTATTTATTATAAAAGTTAGGAAGTGTGCAAACATAGACTGACTTGAACATGTAGAACAGGCAGGGTGTGTACATACATCAACTGACTAAAAAGGTAGAACATGCGGGAAATCTACATAAATTGACTGACTTAGGTAAAACATGCAGGTAGTGTACATACATCAACTGACTAAATAGATAGAACATTAAGGGATTGTTCATACATCAACTGACTAAATAGGGAGAACATGCAGGGAGTGTTAATACATAAACTGACTAAACAGGTAGAACATGCAGGGTGTGTACATACATCGACTAAGATGTTTGTCATCTGAAAACATGTGTACATACATTGACTAATGACTGTTTGTCATCTGAAAACATGACATGATGCCACATTTAAATGCCTGTTTCTTGTGTTCTTTGCAAAATTTGAAGCATGGTATGGTAGAAGTTGTTGCTTAGATGTCTTTGAATCTAACATTCTCACTAGGAGGCAGCTAAGTAAGAATTTGTGAACTTAAATATGTCTTTTATAGCAAGACATCATACCATGTTTTTAATTTTTGGAGTGGTAGTTCTTAGCCTTCCCATTGCAAGTTATGTTGTAGTACTCTATGATAATAATAAAATTGAACATTATTTTAATGTATATAAGCATATAATACATTTTCCTTTCGTTGATAAATTTGCAATCCCATTTGTAGAAAAACTAGGCCTGAATTCACAGACTATTTATATGCTTTCATTTAGCACCACTTTACTTAATCACCTTTCTCTTTATTCTATATTGCTCTCCTTTAACTCAAGACTGCACTCTTTTTGATGATATTTCTGGTCAAATTGGCAAAGCCCTTTCTCTTTATCCTTCAGTCAATATCATTGTTGTTGGTGACCTTAATGCTCATCACACTAAATTACTTGGCTCTAGTGTCAGTGACTCTGCAGGCTTTAAAGCCCAAAACTTTTGCCTTTCTCAGTCTCTAACACTAATAGTCATCTTTCCAACTCACTTTCTAGTTAAATTTGAATTATTTACCTTTTCTACTTGACTTATGCCTTGTTTCTGATCCTAGTCAGTGCTCAGTCTCCCTACATTCACCCATAGGTGCTTCTGATCATGTTTTGATCTCTCTAAAACTATTATCTGATTCTTCTTCATCATCAGAATCCCTACTATCATCAAACCTTATACAACTACCTTAGAGCTGACTGGGATGCTTTCCATGATTTTCTTTGTGATGGCCCTTGGGTCATCTTTTGATTTCCAACTGACAAATGTGCTTCTTACATAACTTGTATTCAGGCTGGCATAGAATCTTTTATTCCTTCTTGACGATTCAAAGTCAAGCTTCACTCTTCTCTATAGTTTTCCTCTTATTGTGGTGCTGCAGTTTCCTATCAAAACCATTACTTTCATATCTATCAGCAAAATAATTCTCCAAAAAACAGGCTTATGTAAAAACCATTGTAAAAAGACTGTCTAACGTCATATCACTTCAAAAATTAGGCGCTCATGACTTCTGGAGAATCTTTAACAGTATCTATAATAAAGGCAAATCTGCTGTTCTACCTCTCTTGTAGGGTTCAGATTTTGTCACCTCACCTAAATACATAACTGAATTGTTTGCTAAGAACATTTCATCAATATCATCTCTTCATTCCTCTAGTTGCATTCTACCTGATATAGCAGACAAACAGGCTGATCCATTGCTTGACAATTGTACCACTCCAGCTTCTGTATCTAAAGTGATTTCTTGCTTAGACTCTTCTACAGCTTTTGGTCCGGAAAACATACCTGTTGTAGTCTTGCAGAAATGTTCTTTGGAGCTGTTGTCAAAACTTTTAAAATTAATTAACAAGTGCTAATCAAAGTCTTATTTTCCAGTCTGCTGGCATCTGTTATCCCTATTTTTAAAAGTTCTGCAGAGCAATCTGAATCCTCTAACTACCGTCCTATTAGTCTTCTTCCAATCATAAGCAAGGTTTTTAAGTCTTTAATTACAAACACTCAACCTCTAAACTGAATCTAATAACTTACTTTAATCTAATAACTTACTTTCTGATGAGCAATATGGATTTCAGTCTATTTGTTCAACTGCTGATTTGTTAACGGTGTTAACAGATAGGTTTTATTGTGCATTAGATAGATGTGGAGAGGTTAAGGCTATCACTCTCAATATTTCTGAAGCTTTTGATAAAGTTTGGCATGCTGGTTTTTTCCATTAACATTTATCAGTTAACATTTTTAAGATTATTGAATTGTAGTATAAAAGTTTTCCTTGATGGACAGCTCACTTCTTCAGTTCCTATAACTTCAGGGGTTCCTTAAGGGCCTACCCTTGGCCCTATACTTCTATCTCTATCTAAGATGGCAATGTTTCCTGATGATACTACCATTTATTCTCATCTTGATAATAGGCAACACTCTCTGATTGCTTGGAGGAGGCATTTAAGCTTGAAAAGGATCTCACTTCTGCTACTGCATGAAGTTCTCAGTGGCTGGTGAACTTTAACTCAGGTAAAATTTAATTTTTTTCAGCTATTCTTTATCACTATAATCTAGATTTTCATATATTTATAAACGGTAATGCACTCGATGAGTCATCTACCCTTCATCTTCTAGGATTAACTCTTACATTCGATCTTTCTTAGAAACCATATATCAAATCGATTGCAAAATTAGCATCTGCTATGGTTGCATCTTTCCATCGTGCTTGCCACTTTTTTACTCAGGATTCTATTCTTTATCTCTATAAATCTAAAATCCGTTCTTGTATGGGATACTGTTGTCATATCATGAGCAGAACTTCCAATGATGCCCTTTCTCTTTTAGATAAGGTACAAAAACACATTGTAAACACAGTTGGGCCTGCTCTTGTAGCCAACCTCCAACCACTATCACACCTGTTTTATATGCTGAGTTTCAAGTAAAAACTATGAAACTCAGCATATAATATGTGCTACATCAATATGTGCTAAATACACACACTAAATGATTTTTTTTTTTTTTTTTTACCATGCCATTTTTATACTTATATATCAGGTGGACACAAAAAAATCCGGTCAACTTTAAATTGAGATTTCTCTAAAACCACAAATGCTTTTTATTTCTTTTATTTTTTTAGTTAAACATTGCTTCCTTATCTTTAATTGTGTTGATAAACTTTTGTTTACAAATCAATGATTTGCAAAATATTTTGGAAACAAATTGAGGTGCATAAAAAAGTTGTGAATTTTTTTTGCAAAAATCTATCGACTTCTTATTGCTTGATTGCTAAATGTCCCAAAATCTACATTCATCGATATTATAAATAAGTTTAAGACTACTCAAAGCTTCGAAAGAAATTCTGGAAGAAAAACCTGAAACTGGAAGAAAGAAAACTTTCCATAAATCCAAAAAGGTAAAGTCGATTCTCAGTTTAATAGCAAGAAATCCGAACCAGATCTAGCAAAAAAATAAACAAACTTCATGTTCTCATTTCAAAAAAGTACTTTAAAATGCTGGAATTAATACATTTCATAAAAAAAAATACAACTAAAAGAAGCTTAAATTGTAAAATTAAAGGAATTCGACGCGCGAAGAAGTTAGTTAAAATAATGGCGGATAAAAGTATGTGCATAATTGAAGGCAATGAAACATATAGCAAGGCGGATTTTTCACAACTTCCTGGTCAACAATTTTATTATGAGAACAAAGATAAACCTGTTGATGATCAATTTAAATATATTTGACAAGAAAAATTTGCATCCAAGTTCCTTGTGTGGCAAGTAATTTGTACCTGTGGTATGCAGTCTTCTTGTTTTGTTACTAAGAAGACCTTGACTGCCAATTTCTACATCAAAGAATGCTTCCAAAAAAAACTTTTGCAATTTATGAAAAAACACAAATACTTATGTCTCTATTTGGTAGATCTTGCTGCTTCTTACTATTCTAAAAAAGTTCTACAGTGGTGCAAAGATAATAATGTGAAAAATGTTCCTAAAGATGCAAATCCTCCAATCTGTCTTGAAGAGCGCAAGATTGAAGATTTTTTGACAATAGTTAAAGGAGTTTTTTGTAAGAAAGGTGGAGTAACAAAAATGAAAGACTTCTTAAAAAAGTAGAAAAAATCTGCTAAATGATGGCATCAACCGGCTATAAAATTTGATCTCTTGACAAACAGCTCATCACGCATTTATGCTAGTTCGCTCTTGTGCCAGTTTTTGTAACTGATTTCCACTTATGCTAATTTGCACTTACGCCATTCGCACTTATGCCAGTTCGCACTCATGAAATTTGCACTTATTCAGTCGTCCCGATATAAACACATTTAATAAAAAATTTTTTTTTGATAAAAAGCATATATGATTTTGGAGAAATCTCAAATTAAAGTTGAACAGATTTTTCTGTGTCCACCCGATATATATATATATATATATATATATATATATATATATATATATATATATATATATATATATATATATATATATATATATATATATATATACATATATATATATAAATATATTTAATATATATATATATAAATATATATAATATATATATATATATATAATATATATTTATATATATATATATATATATATATATATATATATATATATATATATATAATATATATATAATATATATATATAATATATATATATATATATATAATATATATATATATATATATATATAAACATATATATATATATATATATATATATATATATATATATATGTTAATTCTATTAGAGGTTGTTTAGATATTGAGTATTTATGAACATGTTTTTCCGAATCAAGTTCTTGGCATAAAACTTTTGTCGGTTAGGTATGTTTTCTTATTGAATTTTATGGTAGCAGCAGTAGTTTTTTTTCTACAAAAATTTTTTATTTCTTGCAAAAGATTTTTATTATTCATTATCTTGTTTTTAAAAACTTTTATTAAACTTTTTTTCTTTTTTTTTTTTAAGTTTTTTTTTTTTTTTAATGTACTTTTTTTTTTTTTTTTTTACAGAATAGCTTATATATCATAGATAGTTTACTGTGAATCTAACAATAGTTTGTTAGATTCACAGTAAACTATCTATAATATATAAGCTAATTATTTTCTGTTTTTTTATTTTTTTATTTTGATAAATGTTTGACAAGTCCATTTTTATACTTATTATAAACATAATATAAATATTATAAAGGCATAAGCAACTTTTTTTATTAATCAAATAATTCTCAACTAATTTTAAATAATTCTCAAGTATTTTTGTTTTATATTGTACTAATCAAATCTGTATTCAACCATTTTTAAATGTCAAAGTGCTAAAAGAATTATAGAGACTTTTTACATTTAGAATTAGATTATTATAATGTTGTTAATGTGACTTATTTGTTTTTGAAATTTGTAAATCAAAAGAAGATTGTCAAGGCATCCAGTCAGAACAAAGTCACAAATTTAGGATTTAAAACAAAACAATTGTGGTTATGTTGTATATTATAATTTAAAATAAGTACTGAGACAGAAAAGCAAAGATATGTTTTAGCAAGTAAGTTACTTGTTTAAAGTTCTAGCTAACGAGGTAACAACCTTACAAGTAGAAAGCTTTAATAGTATGAGTTTGAGCTGTTATTTTATAACACTGATTTTGTCAATGTTGTCAATGGTGATTTTGTCAATGTTGATAAGCTTGAATTTGCTTTGCTGATTATTATTTGACTTGATATTATCATTTAAATTTGTTTTAATTATTTCTTTTTTATTTCTTCAGTATAAATGGAACTAGAGCTGTTTTAAACTTTTCGAAGTTGGATTCTTTTCAATTTATTTACCTGCAAGATAGCATTGAAGTTGATTATTCCCTTGGAAAGCTATTATTTTTAAATGCAAAGGCTTCGTATACTTTAGGACCTAACTGTAATTTTTTTTATTTGTTTTTTTTTCTTTTACAATTTGTTATTTATTTTAAGGTTTTATCATTGTTCAATTTTTTTTTATATATTATACAGTGAAATTTTACTTCTCATAAACATTATCTCCATTGACTCATAAAGCATTAATTACTCCTCCCAGACATTATCTCCATTAATGTCTTATGGATATAGTCATGATATATACTTATATTAATAATAGCATGTGAAATGTTTATTTGAAATTTATTTTTTATTATTATGTGTTGATATAATTATAAATTGCATTAATATAGTTATATAATTATATTAAATAATTATTTTATAAATATTATAGTTAATTAATTTATTAGTTTATTTATCTAGAAATATAATCAATATTTGCTTATTACTCATCCTATAAAACAATATTGACTAAAATCATATAGTCAATCAACTAAGTAATGAGAAATATCAATTAACTAAGAAATAATGAGAAATATTTTGTTTTATAAGTTTGTGTAATTAAAAAAAATTGTTACACAAAGTTGTTTAAAATAGAATACAGTTTTGAATAGTTTAAGTTCAAACTTACAAGAAATATTAAATTTTTGATAAATTTGAATAATTAGATATAAAAGAATGTTAAAAGTACACTCATGTATTACTAGAAATCATATATATTTTTATTATATATTTTAAAACTTCTCCACAAAGGACTATTCCTATGGAGCAGCAAAACACTAGTATAATACTGGAAGGTTAACAGATATTTTCAATACAAAATCTGATGTAAATAGCATTTATGCAATTTTAATTATTTAAAAAAAAAAGTTTATTTTTTTAATAATAATTGATTTTTTTAATGATTTTCATTTCAATTTTATTATAAATAAATAATAGTTTTAAATACATTATTTACATAATAGTATTTCAACATTAAACAATTAAAAACAATGAACAATTAAAACAATTAAAAACAATGAAGAAAGTATTACAGGTGTTAGCTCATATAAAAAAGTTTCTACATTTTCTGTTGAGAATCTAAAATAAAAATCATTTGATAATATTACACGTATATGTAGATATTTTATTACACATATATGTAGATATTTTATTACACGTATATGTAGATATTTTATTACACCTATATGTAGATATTTTTTATTAGTTATCAAATCAGATATGGAACTACCCAAAACTGTAACATTTATAATCCAAATTTCATATATTTTATCCTTTATCTACTTTTTATAAATATTTGTAATCATCTTGCTATATATTATTGCTGAAGTTAATAGTAGTGCTAGTACCCCTTTGAGCGTGTTTGACACGGAACCCTTGCCAGCCATTGCACCAGAGGTAATGGCAAGAAAGAGTGGTAGCACTATTTGTTATAAGAAAACGTGAACAAAAGTGTATACAAATATCTAACATTTGTAAACTTCAAATTATGTAATGTTAAATTCTAAAACATGTATCAAGTTTTACAGTTTTACTTTCACTTGAAAACTGCATTGCGGCAACATCTCCTTAATTTTAATCTATAGCATTTATTTCTGTTAAAAATTTATTATACACTTTTAAAATTTTTGTCAGTCAATGTACCAGTGTGGCCAAGTGGTTAGCACGCAGAGCTTCTGAATGAAAAAGCTGTGGCCAAGCCCTACCACTGGCAACTTTTCTTTTTGAAACTTTTCTTGATTATTTTAAAATAGAAAATACTTTTGAAGATTTATAGAGATTTATAATGATGTTATACACTTTAACAAACAAAAAGATTTTTAAAAAAGCTAACAATTCTGAAAAAATCAAAAAATGGGGGAAATTTGTTGCGTATGTGTCATGATTGAGATTATTAAGATGCTCATGTAATTAGTCCTAATATGCTGCGGATAGTCTGAAAAAAAATTATCATCTAAAGTTTAATGAAGAAAAAATTTAACTCCAGCGTATTCTGGAGTAGCAGTCCTGCTACTCCAGAACACGCTGGTGTGGAAGCAAAAAAAAAAAGATGGTTACTAGAAAAAGATTTAACTTTTATTTTAGCAATTAAAAGTCTTTTTGCTATAAATGTATATAAACAATATATACAAACAAATATGTTATGTAAATATAAAAATGTGAAAAATCCACTTATACAACGTTTTATTCCAGTATGTAATATAAGTAAACTCTTCTAATATTTAAAATCTTTTTTTACTCAAGCAGTTTTGTTTTGAGTTTTTGAATGTATTTTATTTAAAAAAATTGAGATTTAAAAAAATAAAACATATTGTCTCATACAATTGGAAAATTTGAAAATTTTATTTTAGATTTGCCCCTCTCACTTGATAATTTCTGATTGCTAAAATTACGTCATTTTCTTCTTAGCACAGTCATTTAGATATTAGAAAAAATCAAAAAATTTTTGCTCAAAATGTTTTGGACTAATTAAACCATTTAAATGGTCTCAAATAAGGTAGATGCAGCTTTTTCGGAAATCGTTGAAGCATAAACCTAAATAGAAATAAATATAATAATTACTTTATTTAGTCTTATAAAGACTAAATATAGTAATTACTATGTTATTTCTTTAAAACTATTTATTTATTACTATTGTAATAAATACAAAATCTTATCGTGAAATGATATACCTGTAACATTTTTGTAACTTTTTGTGCAACTGTATGCACCATAATTAAAATTGATCAAAAAATATAAAACTAAACTTGACATATAGAAGTTTTTTTTTTTTTTTTTTGCCACAAGCTGATGTCACTGCACAACAATTTTTTTTAGATTAGCGTTTTAGAGCTGAGGCTGCATCTATTGTTTTTAATGGTCTAAAATCTTCTTAGTTCTGCTATTTGTATAGCGTTACATATAAACGTCTTCAGCATATGTTGATTTTGCAGGCAGTATATGCAACAATTGTGTATGATATATCTATAAAACTTGAAAATTTAAATTAAGAAAACTTGAAAATTTCATTTTAATAATTCTTTTATTAAAATAAAATTTTTTTTGCTATATATCTACTTTTTTTCTACAAATATATAGCACGAGTGAAGAAATTTCAAAATTTATTATGCTAAGAAGAAATCTCAAACCCCCAAAATGACACTGAGGACTGCGTGCGAAACCACTAACTTATCAATTATATGCATTTAGGAGAAAAACAAACCTAATTATAAATCCTTTATATGCTCAACATATGCGGAAAAGGTGTGCATGTTAACTTTTTTGCTCTTAAAGTAATTTTTCAGAGTGAACTATTTTAGTAAAAAAGTAAAAAGGAGTAGGTATAGAAATGATCAGTGTGGAATAGATAAGTATAGAAATGGTAGGTTTGGTAAAGACCCGCATTTTATGGTTCTGGAAAGCTAGGATATATTTATAAGAAAAAAGTATAGAAAAAGTAGGTGTGAAATAGACTTATAAAAACCTATATTTTTCGGGTCTGGTCAGCTAGTATTATATATTGAGCAACTTAATAACATTAACGCTCATTCCTGTTTGTTTGTACAGAACTCGCAGCAGCTATTAAACCCAAGTTAATGGCCAGAAAGAGTCGCAGTACTTTTTGTTACAAGAAAATGTGAACAAAAGTGTATGCAAATATCAAAGAAGAGAATTTTTAAAAAACGTAAAGTTTCTTAAAACATTAGAAACACCATGAGAAATTTGTTATGCATATATTATGATAGAAATATCTATATTAATAGTGTTCTCAGGTAATTAGTTACGTCTGCACATTTAATACTCATTAAAGAGACAACTTTCTTTCTTAAATGATTGATTTTACATTCAAAGTTTTACTTTCTTCAAAATTAATTAACAGATTGGGCGTCCTAATAAGCTGTTGATGGCCTGAAAAAAGTTTGATAAAAACTTAGTATAAATATAATAAAGAAATTTTTTTTTAATGCAACGGCTACCAAAACATTTAAAATTTTTTAAAGTTAACTATATTATTAATTTTTTTTTCATAAATTTAAAAGATAGAGTATATGTATAGACTATATGTATAATAAAGTAAGGAATAAGTATAGAAATGGTTGATGTGGAATAAACTAACCAAGACCCATATTTTATAAGTCTGGACAGGTAGTATGAATAGATGCATGTGTATATTTGTTTTAAAGTAAGTTAAACTTTTGTATTTAATAAAGATTTATGGTTACTTATGTGTCCTGTTTTGTTTTAGGTATACTTTAATGATAAAATTACTGTTGACTATAATTTGTGTATGAGCTTTTTCTTCTTAAAATAAATCTGTTTTTATTCTGAACATCTGTACGTTTTTCTTTGTTTTTATTACTTATCCTCCTTTGTATAAAAAGTTTTTTTAATAGAAATGTTTCTTATTTCTCTGTGGGGTTTGATTGCTCAGTCTAGTTCAAGCACCTCAGATTACCTGCATCAAATATAACAAAAATATCAATTTATTTATCAGCTATCAATTTATTTAACAGTTATCAATTTATCAATTATCAGTTTATTTATCAGTTGTCAATTTATTTATCAGTTATCAGTTTACTTATCATTTTTTTATTTATTTATCAGTTATTGATTTATTTATCAATTATCAATTTATTCACCAGTTATGAATTTGTTTATCAATTATCAATTTATTTATCAGTTATCAATTTATTTATGAGTTATTGATTTATTTATCAATTATCAATTTATTCATCAGTTAACATTTTGTTTATCAGTTATCAATATATTTATCAATTATCAATTTATTTATCAATTATCAGTTTATTTATCAGTTATTGATTTATTTATCAATTATCAATTTATTTACCAGTTATCAATTTATTTATCAATTATCAATATATTTATCAGTTATCAGTTTATTTATCAGTTATCAGTTTATTTATCAGTTATCAATTTATTTATCAGTTATCAATTTATTTATCAGTTTTAGCAACTGCTTGAGATATCACAAGAAGTTTTCGATAGTTGTAGAGATGTTGTACAACAATTGTTACATTAATTAATTTCTTTCAGTTGTTTTACAACATGAGTTTTGGTGAGATGTTAAATTGTTCAGCTATTAATTATTAATATTTTGTTGTACAACTTTTATACAACATTTCAACAACTATTAGAAACCAGTCTTTAGTCTACTATTAAATATTGCATTTGATAATTAGTGAACTCTGACATTTGAAGAATGTCGCAGTTCACCAATTCACCATTTTCAGTTTTCTCTTGCAACTGTGCTTAGCTTTTCTTTTTTTTTTTTGTAATTATGTGTCAAGAAAATAAATGGTTCTTAATGAACCACATGGTATTAAACTTTAATTATAAGGTAAGATTTTTACATTTTTTTAACATAAGAGTTCTGTTTTTAGTACCCAGTTCTCCTCCAGAAAATGTTAGTGTGATTCCTGTTTCCTCTAATTCTTTTAATATTACATGGAGCCCAGTGTCAAAGACATGGAGCGATATATTCAACATTAAAGGTTTTTTGCTTCTTTTCTTGTTTTAAAATAAATTTAAATTTTTACTTTGTAATAAATAGTTGTTTTTCAGAGGTGTATTGGAAATGAATTGAATATGAAAGAAACAAAACATTTTTATTTCATTTTGCATAAGGAAAAGTTGATAAAGTTAATGACCAGTGTTTAGAAAATTTAAAGTAAATTTAAGTAAAACTTATTTTTAAAATCATTCAAATCATTTTATTTATTATTTTATCATTACTAATTTTTTTTAATGACTTTATCCTATCTATAGTAAGTAATATAAAGTAATTTCCAAACTTCTGTCTCCTGGAATAAAATTGGGTTCTCATTGTTTCTGACATGATATTAACTTGATCTTATATTAGGGCAGACGAGGTATTTTAGTTGTAAAAAATCTGCGTTCTTTAAACTGGACAATTACAATGACATCTAACAGAAAATTTGTGAAAACATAAGTTGTCAAAGTGCACCCTGTTATCTTTTTAGAGCCCTAGTTAAAATTTTTCTAAAGCCCTACAGATTCTAAGGAACCTTTACAATTTTAAAAATGTTTTTTAAGTTATTATGGTTTGTTTCAATTTTTTTTATAAATTCTTCAAAATTATTATGGTTTATTTTAATTTTGTGTGTGTGATATTTTTTTGTTCCAAAAGCTTATAAGATCCTATTGAACTTTTTAGCTTGGAAGCATACCCCTCCCCCAATCTTTAGGTGGAAATATCTAGAATTTTAATTGTTATCTACACATGGTTATTATAAGTCTTATTCCAGATTATGTAAATTGTTGACATTTTTCACTACAATATGTTTGTATAACTGTAGGATAACTAAGTATTTAAATTATAAATTAGCAAGGAGAATAATTTTAACAACATGGTCAGTGTTAAATTTTATAAAATGTTAAATGTTTTTAGTTCAAATGATTTAAACCTGTACTAATCAAGTACTAAAAACATGTACTAATCAAGTTTTCAGTTGTAAGACTAAAAGAACTAAAACATTTAACTGTTTTTTTACAGGGTATATTGTGTTTTACAGACGAATTCAAGGTTCTTCATCTCACTATAGTGCAATTGGCAGTTTTTCTTATTCAGCATTTATAATTGACTTACTACCTGGCACACAATACATATTTAGGGTACTTGCTTATACAGAGTATGGAAATGGTGTTGCATCAAAACCTGTAATAATGGCTACACAAGAAAAATGTTTGTTTTATTTCACTTGAAAATCAATTATTTCTTCAAGTTATTTTAGAAATGGGTTTTAATGTTTGTTTGTTTTTTTTGTTTTTGTTTTTTTATTAGGTTTACAGCTTATAAACAAGCATCTTAATTCTTCAAAGTTTTGTTGTTTTATTTTTATATTAATTTTTTATTGGGAAATAATTATACACTAGACTCAAAATACTGTTTTATTTTCCATTATTTCTTAATGAAAATAATTGAAAATACTTGAAAGCACAAACTTATTCCATTGTAGGTAACCCCAAATAATTTTATTATTTCCTTAGAGAGTAACAAAGTATTTTCATTTATTTTTTATGTCTCAGTATTTTTATTATATTTTAATTAAATAATAATTAAAAAAAAAATAAACCTGTTACTTTAAACTAATATTGGTAACAGTTATTATTTTTTCATGCTTTTTTTCTCTCATTAATATATTAAACTTATTTCAAGTAACTAGTTTTGCATTTTAATAACACAGCTGCATTTTTTTGCTAATTTGGATGTTTTTATGTTATGGTAAAGAGTTTTAGAAATGCTATTTGTGAATACTGTTTTATTTGAAGATTTTCACTTCATAAATTTTTTATTTTTTTACTGTAAATTCTTATAGAGATTTCACACAAAAAAATATCATCTACAATTACCCTAACCTGTCGCTTAATAAGTAAACTTGTCTTTTTACACTTCATAAAGTAGGTAAATAAATATAGTAGCAGCAACACCCATGCCATCAACAACAACCGTGTTCTGACGTATGTACTAAAAGCCCCAAGAGCTCCCTATTTCAGTATGATGTCACATTGCTGATCTAAGTGTGATCTTATATTTATAACTGTTATTGAATCATTAATTTTAAAAATATTTTGTCTAATATTAAATATAAAATATGAAAATGTTGTAGCCATGATGTCAGTAAAGAAAAACATTTATCAATATTTGTGACTATCTTTATAAAGTTGAAAAATGTAGATCAAGTTGGGCCCACTTATTAGTCAAAGTTTTGTTTACATTTTATTTCAATTAAAGCAAACTGTTGAGTCAACAATTAAATTTTTGTTGTTGTTGTTGTTGTTGTTGTTGTTGTTGTGTTTTAACTAGTTTACTCCTAACAAGGCTGGAAGCAACTATTTACTAAGAAAAAAAAAAATAGTGTTAAAGAGCAAGAAAACAGTAAACAGCAGACTTAAAAAATTGTAGGTTGTATGAGCAAAACATGAAGATGGGAGAGAGTTCCAAAGGGTTGAAATATGTGGAAAAAACTAGACAAGTAAAAGTTTTTAGACCATACAGGGTCAGATACAGATACAGTAAAAGTATGTGACTTTGCTGAATGACAAACCAAGCAAGAACTTGACAAACCAAGAATGACAAACCAAGCAAGAACTTGATTAATGGAACTAGAGATGATAACTCCTTTGAGCAGCAACCATGATAGTATTTGTAGAAGAAAAATTCTAAAAGAGAGTTTGAAAGAGCTAGTATAAGAAAAAAAAATTGTTTTTTCTAGAAAATGTTAGGGTGTTTCAAGAAGGAATCATCACAGACAATTGTTTTTATTGTATAAAAAATGTTTGTCTATTTGACTATCTCTGTAATGTCAACAAAATAGAATAAATAGAACAAATTGAACATCAAACTGAACAAAATGGAATTAATAGAACAAATTGAACATCAAACTGAACAAAATGGAATTAATAGAACAAATTGAACATCAAACTGAACAAAATGGAATAAATAGAACAAATTGAACATCAAACTGAACAAAATGGAATAAATAGAACAAATTGAACATCAAACTGAAAAAACTAGAAGAGCAAAGAAACAAATTGAAACAAAAACAAAGTTTACTACAAAGTGAAGTGAAACAAATTAGGTGTAATAAGCTTAAAGAAAATAAAACTATTTCTCCTCAATCTTATTTATCAAAGCATCAAAAAAGTTTGGAAATGCTATAGCTTGAATAAAAAAATCAGGCAGCTTGCTTAGCCTGCAAAGACTGATTTATGAAGTCTATAAATATGCATTTATATATTTTTTTACTATTAGGCATATAGATATACATTAACCAACTTTTGGTTAATATATATCTATATATTTCAAAAGCCAAACTAAATTCTTATGCTTTTTTTTGCTATCTTCATCTTTTATAAAAGTGATAAATAATGAAAAAATTTATCACTTCCCTTACTTAAATCCTCAGTTGATATATCAGCAACTCTCTTGAATGTTTTCCCTATATTAGTTAATGTATGTACTGAATCCTCCGCAGTTTTAGTACAGCCCCAAATCGCCAATCTAAGTGAGCTGTATATTATGGTGTTATGAATTAATGAATTATTTATAATATTATATATGAATTAATGTGCATTGGACAGCAGATGTGTTACAGTATGTGCCAAAATTGTCACCATGTTTGAACAAAGAAATATTTTATATTTTTTTTAATAGAAAAGCTGTGAAGAAAAATGAAATTTTAGAAATTTTAATTAAATTTTAGAAATATTAATTAAATTTAAGATATATTTTATATTTTTTTTAATAAAAAAGCTGTGAAGAAAAATGAAATTTTAGTTTTATTAATTAAATTTAAGACTTAGTTAACTGAAAATATTGCTTTTTATTAAATTTAGAGGATATTGACTTTTTTTTTTAATTTTTATGTGAAGAGCTAATGGTGACAATTTTGTCGCAAATGAAAGCAAATAACATGTTGTTGTAAATTAATATTGAGTGTATCCTCCCTTAGATTTAATTACAGCCTGAATTCTTTTAGGAACACTAGCAACCAATTTGCGGCATTCCTCGGGTGTAATTGAGTACCAAACCTCTTTTACACAAGCCCAAAGTTCATCCTTATTCTTAGATGGAGTAGAAAAGTTCTAGACTTGTTGTTTAACTAATGCCCATAAATTTTCAAGTGGGTTAAGATCAGGGCTTTGTGCTGGCCAGTCAACGACTTTCAATTTCTTCTCGTGAAGGAATTGCTTTTATCCTTATGAAGGAAATGCTTTTATCCTTATGCTTGGGGTAGTTGTCTTGCATGAACATCGTGTTACATACAGTTCTGTCCCATTTTGGAAGGGACTTGAAATATCCAACCTTAAGGGTGTTGATATAGTCATCAGCATTCATTATTCCATTAATTTTTACTAATTCACTGACTCCACGAGCACAGAAACATCCCCAAAACAACAGTTTTCCTCCGCCATATTTAACGGTTGGTGTAAAATCTCGAGCATTTAATGGTGAATTAGGCTTTCTCCAAGTATATCTTATACCATCTGATCCAAAAATATTAGTTTTACTTTCATCTGTCCAAATCCAGTCATAAAAGTCATCAAAAGTCATGTGTGCATGAAGTTTAGCATAATTTAAACAAGCTTGGTGGTGATGAGAAACTAACAATGGCTTCTTGATCTTCCTTCTGGATTAAAAAAAAAATCTTTTTTTTTATGAGTCCTATAGCTGTTATTCATTAAATTAGTAACATCCTTTGCAGTTTTAGACTCTCCAGAAGCAATTAAATGAGCAATTGTTCTTTGGTCTCTTGGTGTAAAAATTTTCTTTCAACCACTTATAGGCTTATTTACTTCTTAATTATTGCGCAATTTGATTTTATATATGAGATTTTGAGACTTTCCAAACTCAACAGCTATTTCAGGATAAGATTGTCTGGATTTAAGCCTTTCCACAATAGTTTTTTCTAGTTCAAGATTTTTTTTCCTCATGATGATAATAACAATACTTTTTTTTATGTTTTGTAAACAAAATCCAACTTTAAATGATATTTAATCATTAAAAATCTGTGAAAAGTTGATAACTCAATCATTTAGTCATAAGGCTATTAATTTATGTCGTATGCCTAATTAACTGTGGAAAAATATGTTAATTGCTTTCATTCGCAACAAAACTGTCACCATTAGCTTTTCACATAAAAATTATAAAAAAAAATTCAATATCTTCTAAATTTAACAAAAAGCAATATTTTTAGTTAGATAAGTTTTAAATTTAATTAATAAAACTAAAATTTTATTTTTCTTCACTGCTTTTCTAATAAAATATATATAAAATATTTTTTTGTTCAAACATGGTGACAATTTTGGCACCTACTATATATATATATATATATATATATATATATATATATATATATATATATATATATATATATATATATATATATATATATATATATATATATATATATATATATATATATATATATATATGTATATATATATATGTATATATATATATATATATATATATATACATATATATATGTATATATATATATATCTATATATATATGTATATATATATATATATATTTATATATATATATATATATATATATATATATATATATACATATATATATATATATATATATATATATATATATATATATATATATATATATATATATATATATATATATATATATATATATATATATATATATATGTATACATTTATATGAATTTTTTATTAAAATTATTTTTTCCATTTTTTACAGTACCAGATGCATTAGTTTCAAATATACAAGTTGAAAGCATTAATCCTTTTTCTGTAATTGTTTTATGGGATGGTGCTCCACGTTCACTTATGAATGGCATTCCGCTTGGATACAATGTCTCATATTACCATGATAATATTTATAAAAACACTACAATTACCTCATTTTCTTCTAGAAATTTAGTTCTTGAAAATTTGGTTCCAGCTACTGCATACATTGTGATCATATGTGCTTTTAATACAATTGGGTTAGGACCACGTCAACAAAAGAACTTTTTAACACTTCATGCTCGTTAGTTTTGAATTTTTTTCTCTTTATTATTTTTTTTTTCTTTATTCTGCAGAGTGTTTTGAATTAATAAAGCATTTTTCTTTTGTATTATTCAGTTCAACATGCAATATATATATTTTTTTCAGCTCCTTCTGAAGCACCAGTTAACTTGACTGTTAATAAATTAAAAATGCATGACACACTTCTTTTGCACTGGAATCCTCCTCCTTTAAACAAAATTTATGGTGATTTGATTTCATTCCAAATTGTTTATAAAAAGGTTGTTTATGGATCTCAAACAACTTCAAAAACTATTAATGTGCATCCAAGATTTTTGGATTATAATTTAACACAACTTGAATCTTTTACCACATATTTTATTGAGGTTAGGGCTAAAACAGATGCAGGCGTCAGCCCTCCAGCTGAAATAAGTGCTGGTAATAATTTGTATTCTACTATTTTAATGATAAAAGAATATATACAAATATAAAATAATAAGTGTTAAATATAAAATATAATATTTGTAATCTATCTAATTATTGTAATTATTTATCACCAAAATAAATAAGAATTAAAAAACACTTATAATACTTATTGTATTGTTCTAAGGTATTGTTCATTATCCTCAGTTAACCAATAGAAAACAGTGTTGACTGATGTTATGCTTCATTATCCTCAGTTAACCAAATTGCATATTTTATTGCAGAAGTTAGGGTCAAGAGACATCAGAAAAGTTTTAAATAGTGTTTTTAACAAAAGCAAGTCTTACATTTCATCTCTAATACATGGGTCTTATTACCACTCCCAAAGATAAGGCCGAACTATTAACAAAGAAATTTTCTTCTAATTCGTTTATTTATTTATATATTTGTATTAATCTAATGGCCACTCTTTTCATCATCACAGAAATATCTAATTGTTATTCAAATCACTCATGCTTCTGCTGTTTAAATTATTTCTTGAACTTCTACTGTTTCTGGACAACGATTTTGTTACAGTCTTACAAAAGTGTTCTTATAATAACATATAAACTAAAAAGTTTTTGAAATCAAACAGGGAAACAACAGAAAATTTTTTTGAAATCATTGAGTTATTCCTTTCTAACAGCACATTTTAAAGTAAAATAACAAATACTCTTCTTTTAGGGTACTACAAGGTTCCATCTTTGGTCCTGTGATGTTTTTTATTATTTTTCTTAAATTTAGATTCACAAGTGTAGTGTGTTAGGTTCACCAGTATTCTAATTGTTGTTCTAAATGATAAAATTACTAGATTGTAGTTCTATATTATTAAATGTTACTAGAAAAAAAATATTACAAAAAAATATTTATGGTAATTGTAAAACTTTTAAGTTATTTAAAAGTTTATTTAATTATATAATTATTCAACCCTTAGAAGTAGGGTCGACATTCGGCAGTGCTGACCTAAAAGTGTGTGAGTGACCTAACTGTTAACCTAAAATTGTTTGAGGTCAGCAAAAAATTGTCGATCTCTTTTCTATATTTTATGGTAGAACCATTGTATCAATTTATTTTTTGCCTACCTGATGCCGACCTCTAAAAAATTGAAGTTGGCAAATTGTTGCCGACCTCATTTTTCCTAATTCCAAGGGTTATTTAAAGATATTTAAAAACTTAAATTTTTTGGATTTTGTTAAAAAAAAATATTTTGTTAAAAAAAAAGAGTAGGGTAGAATAGTGTAATATGAGCACCTTGGTAATATGAGCATACTTAAAGATTTCTTAGATGTAAGCAGTAAAGTTCAAGTTGCTTTGTGTTTTTTGAATCAACTTCATGTTGGGATAACAGGAATCAGTACAATTAGCATAAATATATATGCAGTAATTAGCAGTTATCATCTAATTAAAAGGCTATTAAATTTTTTGCGTTGTTAAAATAATATCATCATGCATGAATCAGTCTGTGGCGTGAAATTTTGATGCTAAAATAATGAAATTAAAAATTTTTGTTTGAAAAACACTTCATAGAAACATTTAGTTTTGACTTTATTTAAAGATGCCATTTTTGTGTAATATGAGCATGCTCAAATTACCCAGGGTTTTTCATTGAAATTACCTTATTTAAAGTCCTAAAATAGCAGTGGTTTTAATTGCTTTTTGAATAAAAGCAAAACGTAGTAAAAAAGTATAATATTTTAACAATACTAAATATTTTTCTAAACTTTTATTGTTCAAAGGTTTGAGTTAATAAAATTGAAAAAATAACAACTAATTTTTTTTTTTTTGCAGAAAATATAGTAGTATTGTTTCAACAAAAAGTGACTTAAAACCTAATCTTTTAATGATAAGTTTTGTTCATCATTATATTCCAAAAATTAGTCCTAATTGTTATTAGGACTAATTTTTAATAATTAGTATTTTTTTACTTAAAAAAAATTTTTTTTTGAGCTAATTCAAAGTGCTCATATTACCAAGTGGTCTTGGTAATATGAGGACTTTAACTACTTTGAAAACCTCTTTGTTCTTAAGAAAAAATGTTGGGTGCCTAAATATCTGAATGGATCATGAGTAGGGATCCCTAAAAATTGTTTACTCGCAAAAATTTTGGATCCAGCATAATTATTTTTGAAGATATTCCAATTTTTGCTTAAAGTGCTCATGTCTAATCTATTTTGAGTATTATTTTATTAGTTGAAATAATTTTGGGTTAGCAGCTCAACCTTTTATATAATAGTTATAATGCTCAACCTTTCATATAACTATTATAAAGCTCAACTTTTCATATAACAATTATAAAGTTATTTTTAGTTTTTTAAGGTTGATTACTATGTAATATATAACACATTAAAAGGCTGTCTACAAAGATTTTTAAAAATATGTGTTAAAAATAAACAGTTTTATGTGATGGTTAAATGTGTAATTTATGTATTTGTTAATTTTATTATTTTAATTACTATTTATATTATTTTTACTTATTTACAGATACATGTCGTTGCCCAGAAAAAGTCTCAAGTAATTTTTTTATGCTATCACCTTATGTTACTTTGGATAAAAGCAATGCTGTTGTTGGAGTCTTTCCACAAATTCTTAATAAATTGATAAATTATGCATGTGGAATGTGCTACAGACCTTCAGGTATCTATAACTCATCCATTGAACAAGTTCGAAACAGTCATGGAACATTTTCAATGAAAAGTTCTTTTGCTAATGTCATTAAGGAAATTGGTTCTTTTACTGATATTTCTTTTCCCATGCATGGATCAGTTGATTTGCCTCACATTATGAATCATCCTTATGTTCCATTAATACAACATCCTGGTGTAGTAATGATAACAAAGAAGCCATCTGTAAATAAAGTTATTTTTGACTTGATAAAGATGATTTTCAGAATATGGCGATTGTTTTTATCTAACATTCTATTGATTGTACTTGTTGCAGCAGTTTTATGGTACATGGTGAGTATCGCTTGTTTAAAATTTTCTTAACCAGTAACAAATCGTAACCAACACTAGTAGTATTATAGTTATTTTATTTATTGCGGTATTTATTACTTACTGTATGCGTACTTAAAATATCCAGGATTCGATGAAAGCTGTGACGAACTTTCTAATTAAATGTTTATTTGCAGTGCTTTGTGACAAGACTTTTAGGGCTACTTGTGGCACCTAAAAAACAAAAATTTAAAATAAAAAACTAATTAGCTATGTATTAAAAATCATTTTATAGTTATATGTTACTATGTCTTTTACAAATCTCATACTATTGTTATCAAAGTGTAATAATATACAATATCGTACATAGTGCTCTGTGATAAGACTGCAAGGACTTCTTGGACCACCTTAATAACCATACAAAAAAAAGAATTACTTTATGCAAAAAAATTGCTAAAATAATAATTCAAATTCATGAAACTGGCCATCTTTTGATTTTAAAATATAGTTTGTTGTAATGATTACTTCTTTTTTTTTTAGAATTTATTTTCAAAAGCAAAGTCCTTTTCTACTTCATTTTTCAGTGGATTTAATGAAACTCTCTACTTAACATGGGTCACTCAAACTACAGCAGGGTATGGTTTTAAATGCAATGTATGCTGACTAATTTCTACTTATTGATACATATAAGCAAATTTTAACAATAATATTTTATTATTCTAAATCAGGTAATCTTATAAATTGTTTAAATCAGGTAATCTTATAAATTGTTTAAATCAGGTAATCTTATAAATTGTTTAAATCAGGTAATCTTATAAATTGTTTAAATCAGGTAATCTTATAAATTGTTTAAATCAGGTAATCTTATAAATTGTTTAAATCAGGTAATCTTATAAATTGTTTAAATCAGGTAATCTTATAAATTGTTTAAATCAGGTAATCTTATAAATTGTTTAAATCAGGTAATCTTATAAATTGTTTAAATCAGGTAATCTTATAAATTGTTTAAGTTTGAAAAAAAGTATTAAAGATCTTGAAAATTTTAAAATTTTTAAAAAAATTCTCAAGAGGTCTAGTTAATTTTCATTACTAAATAACTCTATTATACAATCTATTATATTCTACTCTACTACTACTCTATTGTATTCCTTCCTTCCTTCACTCTATTTCCTCCTTTCTTCACTCTATTCCCTTCTTCCTTCACTCTATTTCCTCCTTCCTTCACTCTATTCCTTCCTTCCTTCACTCTATTCCCTCCTTCCTTCACTCTATTTCCTTCTTCCTTTATTTTATTCCCTTCTTTCTTTACTCTATTCCCTCCTTCCTTCACTCTATTCCCTTCTTCTTTTATTTTTATTCCCTTCTTTCATCACTCTATTCCCTCCTTCCTTCACTCTATTCCTTTCTTTCTTCACTCTATTCCCTTCTTCCTTCAATCTAATACCTCCAAAAATAAATTATTGCATCTTTTCTTTACTCTATTTTTCTCCAAAAATAAATTTCCTCCAAAAATATATTATTTACTCCAAAAATAAATTATTAGTCAAAATCTAGGAACTAAAAATCACATGTTATTTACATAAAAATTATCATATTTAAAGTTTCAGATTCCAGGTTTATGTGCAACAGGATAGGTCAAATTTGATTGTTTGTATTTTTTAATGCTTATAATGGAAAGTAGTATATATTATAAAACTGTTTATATCAATAACATATAATATTGAAAATTTAATATTTTCAGAAACAAAAGAAATGTTTACATTCTGCTAAAAAAATTTAAATAATAAAAATCATTGTTTTAGAGACAATACATCTCAACCGATTTTGGTATATTCATTTTATTAATTATTTTGGTAATATTGGCAGGCATCTTCTTTTTTTCTCTCTTGCTACAAACATTGCATTCTGCATGAACTGAATAAATCTAAAAATCATTCCAGTAGCTGAAATATTTCTTAACCCATTCATCAACATCTTTTTGGTATTGTTGGTATCTAGAAATACCAACAATACCAAAAAACTTAGCTTGGCTTTTCAGGCCAAAAAGGTTAGAAAGAATCAAGTAACTGTCCATATCTCAAGCTTTTGTCGGTAGATGTCAGTATATCTCTGGCTTAACATTAATGAGAATATTTTTTATCTTTTCTACTATTCTGGTATCAAACAAATCTCTTCCTGCTGATGAAAATGGGACTAGTTACTAGAGTAGTGACCCAAATACCAAGTGTGATGATTTTTTATACTTCTTAGAACAAAAGGATTTCTTTAGCTCACAAGAGTCTTTTAATGCCTCCAAGTTGCATCTTGGAGCAGAGACTGCTATTCTAATCTTTGGGAATCAGGGGATATACATAACACTTATGAAGGTAGTATCGTTCCACTTTTCCTATACATCCACTGTTAATATATTGTGTGTAAGCTTGGTCATTTGAGTTGTTAAAATATATAATACCTCAGCCATCAATCTTGTTTTATCAGGCTGCAGAAATCTAAAGTTCTCAACAGCTATGCCTAAGTATTCTGGTTATCACCTTTACAGGCAAAAACACTGGTAATTCCAATAATTGAATTTTCTTACTGGTGAACCATTGAATATTGGACTTTTCTCTATGAATTGGAGCATTATCTTGTTGGAAAATAATTGATTAAAAATGCGTTTGTGCTGGAAGTTAAAATTTTTCTAAACCATGAAAACTTATTATTTTAAACTTTTAAAAATCAAATGTGTATAAGGTATATAGTGCTTTAACTAAAGGACTTGATTAGTTGCTTTAAGAAAAATCAAGTTTTCACTGTAGGTTGATGCCATCATTTTATAGATTTTTTTCTCATGTCAACTTATTAGTCATATTAATCCATCTTTTCTGGAAGACTTTTTCATTTGTTGTCACTCCACTTGTTTTTAAACAATACCTTTAGCTATTTCTCTAAAATTTTTAATCTTGCAGTCTTTTAGATGGTTGAAATACGTTTAGAAACAATTTCCACATAAATATTTTTGCACCTGAATCATTTTATAAATGGCAAAACGTTTTTGCAGGCATTCTTTGATTTAGAGATCACTTGTCTTCTTAGCAACGAAACAAGAAGACTTGTTAGCAACAAAACATGAAGTCTTCTTAGCAACAAAACATGAAGACTTTATACCACAGCTGCAAATTGCTTACCACAGAAGGAACTTGGATGCAAATTTTTCTTTTTAAATATATTTAAATTTATCATCAATAGTTTTATCTTTGTTCTCATAGTAAAATTGTTGACCAGGATGTTTTGAAAAGTCAATTATGAAAAGTGCATTTAATGATATGAAGTGCTTCAATTTCAGCATTTTTTTTAGCACTTTTTGGACATAGGCATGTGATGTAACCATGTGACTGATTTAGATTTTTTGCTACTAAAATGAGAAATGACCTTTGTAGATTTACGGAAAGTTTTCTGTTTTCTACTGCCAAATGTTCTTTTAATGCTTTTAGTAGTCTTAAATTTATTTAAAATATCTATGACATTTAACAATCATGCATCATTGACGTGACAGTAGATTTAACAATCATTCAACATTAATGTGACAGTAGATTTAACAACCATGTAACACTGATGTGACAGTAGATTTAACATTCATGCATCATTGATGTGACAGTAGATTTAACAACCATTCAATACTGATGTGAAAGTGGATTTAACAATCATGCAACATTGATGTGACAGTAGATTTAACAGTCATGCAACATTTATGTGACAGTAGATTTTATAATCATGCAACATTGATGTAAGAGTAGATTTAACAATCATGTAACATTGATGTGACAGTAGATTTGACAATCATGCAACATTGATGTAACGATAGGTTTAACAACCATGTAACATTGATGTGACAGTAGTTTTAACAATCATGCAAAATTGATGTGACAGTATAATTTTTGTTTTTAAAACATTTTACAAATCTGGGATTTGTAAACTAAAGTTTACCAACACAAAAGATAAAGAAGTAACTTTTAAAAAATATATACTCATTTAAGATTGCATTGACTGCACAGAAAAAATATCTTGTTGTTGTAATAATGTGTATTATAATTAATATCAACATATGTATCATAACTACAACAATAAGGTCATCAAATTTTGGGAATTTTAAACCCATTGGGATTTTTGCAGTATATGCGGTGTTATTGTACTGGCTAACACCCTGACAATTGATATCAACATATTTATCATAACTACAACAAGATGTTTTTGTTACTACTCATAAATTTTACAGTTTTTTAAAGTTTTGATTTTCTGTAATGATTTAAAGCTTTATTTCTTCTAATGTTTTCAATGTTATTTTTAATTTTTTTTTTTTTAAAGATAAGTAAATAAAAAAGTAGTCCAGTTTATAATTTTATTTAACTTTTTTAATTGATTTAAGAATGAAAAGTTCAACATTTCCTGGATATAGACTTAATCATTATCTTCATTAGTTTACTTTACCAATATTTATTACCACCTATTGTATACTTTCAGCATATTCAGCTTAGGCAAGTATCTAGATACTATCTAGTACGGTCTAGATAATCTTATGCATATATAAAAGTATATATATATATATATATAAATATATATATATACATATATATATGTATATATATATATATATATATATATATATATATATATGTGTGTGTATATGTATATGTATATATATGTATATATATATACATATATATATATACATATATACATACATATATACATACATATATGCATATGCACTGACTTTCAAAACCGAAGCATGATTAAATAGAATGTCTTTATAGGTAAAAACATGATTAAATAGAATGTCTTTATAGGTAAACATACTGTTTTTTTGCAAAATTACTTTTAATAATGCAATTAAAACCTTCAAAATATATTTTTTTTTAAACAGAAAAATTTTTAGTATTCAAAATATATTTTAATTAAACTAAGAAAGTGTAAAAAATTTTGTTCAAAATACCTGTATGAGTAATTAAAAAAAATGAATATATTTCAAAACAAAAATAACTTTATATAGAAATGCAAATAAAATGTTAAATTAGCCATTAAAGAATGCTGTAAAGAATGTGTTCCTGTATAGTTATGACAAATCAGCAAGCGTTTCTTTAAGTTTTATTGAGCTTTTCATTACTTCAAATGAATTTTTTTATTTTAATATATTTTCAAACTTTTTTTTTTTTTAATTTGTTTTTTCTAGCTTTTGCTTTGTTTTGTATTATATACTAGCTTTATTATGTAAGTGTAGAAATGTTGAAATTAAAAAAAAAATCTATTTTCTAATGAATTAATGGATTACCAAAATAAAACAAATATATACTGATTAAGTATAGAAATAAAAAATAAAATTAAAATGTTTAACTGTTAATTAAGCTAAATGAATTATTTTTTAAACATTTTTTTAAAGACTTCTAGTTTTTTGTTTCTTAACTGTTTTTTTACTGTTTTTATTTGTTTCTTAACTGTTTATTACATTGTTATATTTTATATTTTTTGTATTTTTTTTTATATTAGCTGTTAGTTATTTATTATCTTTTTTTTTTTTTATGTTGCTGCTAATTGTTTTTATTTGGTATTCTTGTTGTTTTTATTTGTTCTTTTAAAAGTTTTTTTAATTATTCAGGTATGGAGATTATGCTCCTATCGAATGTTTTACAAGAGTTTTTATGATTATTTGGATGGTTATTGGCATGATTATTACATCGCTTATTGTTAGTTATATTGTGACTTCATTACTTTCAATAAACTTTGCAGTTAATGTAGGAATGTATGATGAAGAGGTAAATTGATTGTATATAATATGTAAATAATAATTTGATAACCCTTTTAATGATGATCTTTATTCAACAAAACTAATAAAAATATTTAACAAGAGCAACTTAAAAAAATGAAATTAAAAAAAATGTAATTTTGTTAAGTAAAATTTATATGCTTGTATTATTGTATTCATTATTCTGCAATTTGACCCCCAGGGTTAAAGTCTCCCCACTCCTGATTTCTTTTAGTTTAATCATATGTGTTACCAAACACAATTTAAAATCTGAACTAAAAGACAAGTATATTTTCAAATTTAAAACTTTTTAAATTATATTTTGTATATTTTAATTTTTATTTTTTTCCTAATTTTTATTAAAATCAGCCATTATGATGATTTTAATAAAAATTAGCCATTATGATGAGCCAAAATAAGTTATCAATATATATTAATTGATAATAACAAATACATGACACAAATTATATTAATGTTATTGATTGTTTAAATTAAAGTTCATTACAGCAGATTTTAGCTTGTCTCCATATTTTTGTGTCCTCTGGTTCTTTTATAGTTTACCTGAGTTTTTGTGGTAAACAGCTCCACATTGTTCTACATAGTCTCCTGAGCTAACATTATTGTTTTTAACAAAAGGAAGAATGTGACACACTAAAATATCTATTTTCCATGAAACTTTCAAATCTAAGTCAAAAATATCTTTTTCATATAATGGGATTTTTCTATCACATACATATTGATCATTACATAAGTTTATGGAGCCTAATCTTCTTAGTTTACCTGCCTCAAGAGTGCATTTTTCTTCACAATACAGACAAGCATATTTGCCAGAATGGTTTGAAAGTCCAAAAACATTGTGTGCACACTTTAGATCAAATGCTATACTAAAAATTAACTTCTTTGAGTTTCAAAGCCAATAATTTTTGCCATTACCTCTGAAACCATCTCTACAATGGCAAGAATGTAACAATGATTCATACCAGAATCTTCATATAATTTAGATAAAGAATAATGATTTTTTGAATCAAAAACATTAATGAAAACTTTTAGGTTTTGACCACCATCTACTGATATTTTTACTATTGCCATCATTTCTTCAATTATAATTTTGGTGAATTCAGTTGTATTCATGTCATTAGCTATTTCTCTATCAACTATTTGATCACCGTCAAAGAATTTCTCAGTTTTACATTCATATAAAGTATCTAGAGAACCCTGCAACTCACCCTTGCGGAAAAATTCCATGAAAAAACCCATGAAAAAAAAAACATGGAAAAACCATGGTTATTTGGAACACGTTTTCATGGGAAACCCATGAGTTTTCCATGGGAAATCCATGAGTTTCCTATGGGAAACCTATGAGTTTTTAATGAAAACCCATGAGTTTTCATGGGAAACCCATAAGTTTCCCATGAATAATCCATGAGTTTTTCATGGAAATGTGTTCCAAATACCATGGATATTCAATGATTTTCCATCCATGGAAAAAACCATGGAATTTCCATAGGTATTAGGAACACCTTTCCAAGGAAAACTCATGGATTTTTCATGGTAAAAAAGCATGATTTGTTTACAAGTTTTTTTGATCTAATGTTATTTGAATTGTCATATTAAATCATAAAAGCAAATTTTATCACACTAATATTATTGAGTTCTCTTAATCTATGGGATCGCTTTCGTGATACATAGTGATAAACAATTGAAATATATCAAGAAAACAATTACAGAAATTTACAGAAAATAAAACAATTTACATGTTTATTATTTTATATTAACTATTTGATAAAAATAGTATATATAAATTTGATAATAACTTCAAGTTTTAACAAATTAAAAAGAACCATCAATACAACATATTCAATCCAAAAAAACATCAAGCCTATTTATAAATGTGTCTGTACTGTATCTGTAGAAACAGGTAGATGTTAAACAAAGTACCATTGACATTTTGATATTCATTATTTTTTTCACCGTAGTTAGTCTCATTCTCCATTTCACCAATCTAGACAATACATCATACAACTATTATATACATTCTAACTAGTTTTATTTATTTACTAATTCATTTTACTTATAATTATTATCTATTATAACTTACTTTATAATTAGGCATTATACACAATTATGAATGTTGCCAAATGTTAGGTAACATCTATATAGAAAAAAGTAGCAATGAATATATCATTATTTATAAATAAAAATTATTAGATTGTTACCTCTTTTTCGCCTAAGCTATCTGCATTATGTACAACATCGTTTATATTTCCAGTCAAACATTCCTGCCTATAATGTAACTTAATTAAAATGATTTATTCAAACTAATACATATATAAATGTTACCTGTATGTTAGAAACATTTATATAGAACAAGGCAGCAACAAATATTATATTATATATTTACTTTTGTAATTAAAAAAAAAAATTACTTCTTCTTCTGAGCTACCTGCATGATGTACAACATCATTTACAAACCTGTTTTCTTCACGCCCTTACCATCTTTTAATATATTATAAAGCACGGGACTTGTTAATGAACGGCTAAATAAATAAATTAAAAATTTATATTGCCAGTCAAACCTGCCTGCTTATAATGTAGTAATTTAAATGAAATGGTAAGGTTAAAATGAAAAGATTTATACACATATAAATTTTACCTGCATGTTAGTAACATTTATATAGAACAAGGCAGCAACAAATATAGTATAACTTATAAATTGTAATTTTAAGTAAAAGCTTACTTCTTTGTCTGAGCTGTCTGCATGATGTACAACATTATTTATATTGTCAGTCAAACTTACCTGCTTATAATGCAGTAATTTAAATAAAATGATAAAGTTAAAACAAAAGAACTTACGCACACACCATTAAATTCAAAAATTTATTATATTTTTACTTTACTATTTAAAACATAACAAATATGTAATTTATAAAGTATAGTAATGTAAAAGCATAATAAATATCAAAGTGTGTGCATAAATTAATTTATTTTAACTAAAGACGAGCACTTTACATTAGTTAAATATAAACAAATAAAAATAATTGTATTATAATAAATAATAGTGTATTATTTATAAACATTGCTTTTATATGCTTATATTTAACTATGAAGTAAAATCTTGTGCATTAATTAACTTCCCTTTCTGATACTTTTAAAATATTACCATAGTTTTCCTTCTCCAACTAAGTGGTTCTTGGAACATCCTTACAAGTTGAATCCCAAAGATTACATTTATATCTTTTCTGGTTAATTTAAACTCAATTCACCATTTTATTTTGACAGCTTTTGAACTATTTAAAAAAATATTAAACGCGTATAAAAACTGACGATGTTATAAACAATATAAACGATGAACAACATTATTTTTATTGCCAGTCAAACCTGTTGGCTTATAATGTAGTAATTTAAATAAAATAATAAAGTAAATATAAAAGAATTTAAAAATAATACTTATATTACATTATTTACATATTCTAATAATTCTAAAGAAAAAACAACAACAAAAAGACAAAAACAACTTAACAGAACTAAAATTGAATAGAACATTTATCATAAAAAAATGTTTTTTAATACTTAATGAACATTTACGATACAATAAACTTCAAGCATTTTTATGTAATCTAAGGCTATTATAAAAAAAAATAAAAAAGATCATACTAGTTATTTTTTGTACATTAGTTATCTAATCTTATTATCTTAGTTATCTAATCTTATCTAATATACTGCTTGTATATTAATATTTTAGATAAGTTTCTTTAATATGTTCGATAAGTTTTATAATAATAATTATACTAGTTTGAATGTACATTAAATTACACTATGTACATTAATACACTAGTTATTTAACGTAGATTAAAACTAAACATTTATTTGTTGTAAACCAAATAATAATTATTTGGCAAATAATTTGCCAAGTAGGCATTAAAATTCAAACTGGTTTACTTGACATACTTGCTATACTATTGCAAGTTATGCAAAGTAAGCAAAGCTACTGGAAACAGTTAAAATAAGTATATGCATAAATGATATATAATTAAATATAATTAAAAATAATCCATTTTATAATGCATTATAATTTGATAAATATATCTAGTTGTTTCATTTGGTACCAAACAGGTGAAACATTCGTTTCACCTGTTTGGTACCAAATGCAACTCATCTCCTTCAACCAACGGATGTCGCAGTTTTTAGATCCATGAAGAAAGAATGGAAGAGAATCCTAGAATGTTGGCGAAAAGAAAGTCGCATCAAAGGTACAATACCAAAGACACATTTTCCTGGGTTATTGTTGAAGTTGCATCAAAGACTAAAAGAATAAAACCTTCTTTCTGGCTTTTCGGCTTGCAGAATATCTCCTCTAAACAGAGATGAAGTCTTAAAAAGACTGCTAAATGAGAACCAAGATGTTGGTGGTGAAAAGGTTAAAGAAATCTTTGGCACGGTTGTTCATGAAATGCTAAAAGATCATTGTGGATTCAATAAACCGGACAAACAAACACAGAAGAGAGGAAAAAAGATAATTCCTGGTAAAGAAATAACATCAAATGATCTCAGTGTGATCAAAGAAACAAAAAAACGAACACAGTGTAGTGGTACTGGTACAAAATTGGTTGTCAAAAAAAAACGACCAAATAAAAAAATCCAGTCTTCAACATCTTCAGATAATGGTTCTGAAATTGAAATGGAACTTCAAGATGACAGTGAAGACTCTTTGGAATCAGCTGATAAAACAACTGACATTCCATTTGAACCAAAGCAATGGGTAGTTGTAGCCTGCACCGGGAAGAAATCTGTTGTCAATTACATTGGTCAAGTTGTTGAAGTGTTCAAGAGAATAAAACTGCTTCATATTAAATTTTTGAAAAAACAACCGGCGAGTAAATTCTTCAAATTTATGAAAAGTAAAGATGATATGGGTGAAGCTGTTCCATGTTCTGCTGTAGTTGAAAGAATTTCAGATGAATCGATAAAAAGAAGGGATCAATATCGGTTCCCATACCTGTCTCACTAAGTCATCAACTAAAATCAAAAACTTTTGATAATTTATAATTTTGAGTTTGATATAGTTTGATATAGTTTGATATTTTTTTAACCAACTTTGTAATTTTTTGGATAGTATTAGGTGTACTAGGTCTATAAATCTTTTTTATAAGCCTAAAAAACTATCAATGAAACCCTGTGATAAGTTAACTTGATATTTGATTGAAATAACATTTACTATCAAAGTAACCCCGACATGCGGAGTTACATTGATAACTGTTTGGGCTTTAAAAACAAATACAAGACAAATTCTGATATTTCTAAAAAGCATTTTTTCCTGTTAAGGATAGATCATTTGGTATATTCAAACCAAAAACAACAGCAATTCATTAAAATTCTATCAGCACTTTTAAAAAAAGCACAAAAACCTATCAAAGTAACCCCAGTTGACGGTAAGTAATATAAGTTATAAGTCAATATCTTAAAATGATAACACAGTATAAATAAAAATAATAACTAAAAATAATATAAACATGCATGAATATAAATGAGTTGGATTAATTTTTGAAAGTACTACCCTAAAAAATCAAAGTGTCAATCATTTGATTGCTTAACTGTATTTGATTTTTTGAACATAACAACTTTGAATGCTCTTTCAAACTCTTTACTTGTAAATAATATATAATCATATTTTTTTTAAAGGGGGTTACATCTTAAGCTACTTCTTTTAAATAACAGTATTTCTTTTTGAATTTTAAAAGTTGTTTTTTACCTTTATAGTTTTTTTTCGTATTGCTGACAATCTTTTTTCAATCACTTCATTTAATTTGTTCATTTTAATTGTTTTGAATTTATTCTACTTAAGTCTGCTGCTGTTATTATATATGCCGAGTTTAAACACTTTATCAGGTTTATCATAATTTTTTTTTATTTTGGGTACTTGTATTTGGTAGAAAATCTTCTGGAATCTTTTATGAAGTAACCTGGTCATGAAGATATACTAAGCTTCTTAACGGTGTTCTCCACTCTTAAATTTGATGGCTATGCATCATACAACTGTTTTCCGATTTCAAATTGTTGTTCTTTTATTTTTGTCAACATAAACTTTTATTCATTGTCAGAAGAAAGTTGCGTCTTGTCAACAAAGTGCTACCACAGTTGCTTTATTGGAAGTAAAAGCACTATCAGTTGCTTTATTGGAAGTAAATCAGATATCATTCTACATTCTTTCTCGTTCATTTTAAACGAATCATCCATGTTGGAATCAACTTCTAAATCTAGAAGTGCCTTTTTACCACTAGAACTTTTTTAATTTTAACTTCACTAATCGGTCTATCATAAGTAACAAGGTGCTCTATCGGGTTTTGCAATCCATGATTAAGTGAATGATCTTTATAAACTCAATTTTTATGTACTTTTGTAAATAATTTTCACTTTTGTTTGAGGACCTTTTAAACATTTTTACAATTTCCCTGACGTTTTTGTTATAACCAATAATTTGGTGTTTAATTTTAACTTCAGATGTTTCATTAATTAACAATGAATCATTTGAATCTTGAGTATAATCTTCCTCTTCAAAAACAATACAAAATATACAAAATATGTACAATTAAACATAAAAGTTGTATATATATATAGTATAATATTGCAGATAAGAAATAATGTTTTTAGTTTGCATTTTCGATAAAATACAGAAAGAGGGAGAATAAAAAGAAAACATTGCAAAGAGGATAAACAGCTACAAAACCAAGCCGTTACAATTCCAAAGCCTATGTTTACATTTTATGAAATACAAATTTTTTAATTACAAATTAAACTTTTTTTATAACAATCCCGAAATCCCGGGAAATTTCGAAGACAGATCCCGGGATTTCGGGACGAATAATTTGTACGAAATCCCTGGATTGCCATCCCTAATCATAATGTTATCAATATGTTAATCATAATGTTATCATAATAATCATACCAAGATTCGAATAGCAGAGACAACAGATTTTCTTAGTCACAATTGAGAAGTCCTAGGTTGGATGCTAGCACAGGCCATACTTGTTATATTAGCTGCAAATACAAATATTAAACAAAATTAAGAAATATAAATGATTAACCTATAATCTATATGCATCTATAAATGATTGTTGCATTAATAATGTTGCAGCTGTTTTGTTTGTCAATTATCATTTTAGAAGTCATAAGGTTGAGAAAGGGTTGTTTGGCTTTATTTTTTTTAAATGTCACCACATTTAAAAAAAATTTAATTAGTAGCCTTTTCAACTTATTTTTAAGAGGGCTATTTGTCCAAGGTGAATAAAAAAGTTAAATTTTTTCACTCAGATTGGAGCATTAAATGGATCTTATGAGCAAAGCATTGGAGTTCAAATGAATGCAAAAGTTAACTCAAGTAAGTTGTTTTAATATTAGTCTTCTTAAAATAATTTCTTTAGAATAAGAGTTAATTTAGTTATTAAATAATTTCTTTATTAGTTATTAAATAATTTCTTTAGAATAAGAATTAATTTAGTTATTAAATAATTTCTTTAGAATAAGAATTAATTTAGTTATTAAATAATTTCTTTAGAATAAGAATTAATTTAGTTATTAAATAAATCACTCTGATCTTAAATAAAGTTTTTTTTTTTAGAACTCTAGAAAATGAAAAAATTTATTTTAATATGAAAATAAATTTTAGTTTTTACTTTTAAATACTTACTTTTTACTCTAAATACATAATACTTTTTTTATTAAAAAATATCGGAATAATTATTTCTTCATTTTTTAAAAAACTAGTTTTTTAAATTATATTTAAAATATTGGTGCCATAAATATTGTGAAATTTAGATTTTTTATATTCAATTTTGTACTGTTGGGATTAACTTTTCTGTCACTTTATGCGTATTTAAATGTTATAGCATTAACAAAAATAGTACTAGTTTATGCATTATGTAAATTATTTATTACTTAAAATTAAAAATAATAGATACTGTAAAGTTACAAAATTACAACAGTATTACACAGTGGCGGATTAAGACCTCTTGGGGCCCGGGGCTATTTTTGTTTTTGGAGGCCTTTTAATGGGCCAGAGCCTAAAAATGACTAATGAAAAAAAAAAAAAAAAAAAGGTCCGCTAAAATTTTGGGGGGCCTCTAAGTTTGCGGGGCCCGGGGCTATAGTCTTCCCTAGCCCCCCCCCCCCCCTCCTTGATCCGACACTGGTATTACTTTGCGAATTTACGTGTAAATACGTTATCATATAGAAAAGCAATACAATACAGTAGATGAACTATTTTCTGCGCTGATAAATGGTGACGTAAAAGGTGTTCTCTTGGATGCATACACTGTTGCAGATGTAAAAGTGTTTTTTTCCAATCCTGATATCCAACCAACAAGATATATTAAAGTAAGAAGAACTTATGGCTTTGTACTTTCTGGAAATCTTGAAAACTCCGTTGATGAAATAAAAGACTTTATAAACATTAACCAAAATGAAATTCTTACGATTATTTCGAACAGTACTTCGAAAATGCCGGTAACGGTTTTTGTTGATAAATTTGTTATTTTTATTCTGCTTGCATATTCACGATGATTCATGTAAAATGCAATTTTTTTTTTTTTTAAATAGGAGATTAAAGTATGGAAGCCGACATCTCTATTTGAACCTAGTAGCATTTTGTTGCAGTATACTTTAATATCAATGTTTTCCATGCTGTTCATATGCTTTTTATTTGGGTTTTTAATGAATTTATATCGCAAAATTAAAAAGAATGATGATGCGTTAAGAAAACTTATTGGTATATATTAAAGTTTTTATTTGACTTGTAGCAGTGAAATGTGGATAATATTAACTTGTAAGGTAACAGTGACATGTGGATAACATTGACATGTGTCGGGTGAATGTTCTTACTAGTCACTGGTTAAACATGTTTGTTTTGTCACAGCCATAATAATAAATGTAGCTAACTAAAAGCACAATATAGCGGACAAAATTTAAATTTATTCATAATTTTAATTATAGCTGAAAAACTCAAGTTAAAACTGTGTTACTCTAGTTTGAAAGTAAGAAATAGAAGGATTTTTAAAATGTTATTTCTAAATGCTAAAAAAATATTTCTAAAAAAATAGAAGGATTTTTAAAATGTTATTTCTAAATGCTAAGCATTTAAGATGTTATTTCTTAAATGCAAATCATTTAATATGATTTTTTAGTAATTTTTAAAACGTAACATTGACAGCAATTTTGGGGTAACATTAACAGGAATTTTAGGTAACATTAATAGGAATTTGAAGTGACAATGACAAGAGTTTTGAGGTAACATTTTAAGGTACTCAAGACTAGTAGTTATGTTTATCTATGAAAATACATTATATCTATGGGAACATCATCTCATACATAAAAATGCATGGTATACAGCATTTATTAAAAAGATATTGGAAAATAATATCTGTATTAAATTTATGAAGAATAAAGGTTTAAACAAATTTATTTGGCCAGCATAGAGGCGTTATGAATGGAACATTCTTGCAGTCCCAATTAAGGACATTTTATGTGTTGTGGATGAATCAATTCTTGTTTCAAAGAAACTTTATAATATAAATTATGTTGCAACTGTTGTTGCATTGGAAAAAAAATTTAAATGATTTTTTAAGTCAGCACGTGGTTTAAAGATGGCAGATGTTCTAAAAGTAATCATCTTAAATGATTTTCAAATCTACTTTAGTTTATAGTAAATTCAGAGTCAGTACCTTAGATTAGGGTGAAACTTCGTATTAAATCTATTGTAGGGCTTTAGTATTCTTAAATATTGTTAAGTAAAACCATAAAGTAACTTTTTTATTTTTTCAAGTAAACGCCATGTAAATGTTGAAGCTAATTGATATACTTTTAATAGTAATATTTTGTTATATTTTCAGGATAAATTTCTTAAACGAATCATTTTCAGAAGAATTTTTTTAAACGAATCATTTTCAAAACCGAGCTATTAGTTAGTGATATCATATCTTTAAAATATTTTCTTTGTTTTGTTTGTCAAAATTTCAATGATAATGTTGATTCTTACAACATTAACATTTACAATATAAAACATACTACTCTCAGTTGAGCCCCAATAACAAAATTAGTTATCGATCAATAGTACTGATAACTAGTTAAATTCTTTATCAGTTTCAAAACACATTGTAAACACATGGTAGTCACATAGAAAGATTGCATGCCAAATACAGTTTGTCATAGCTAAAAAAAAGTGATTTACTAAAGATGTTTTACTTTTACCTTTACGCTTTACCCTGGTATATATATATATATATATATATATATATATATTTTTTTTTTTTTTTTTTTTTTTTTTTTTTTTTTTTTTTGACATAATACGTAGTATTATTTAAAAATAAATATACGTAGTAAGTATAAGTTATAAACAATATTATAAATAATACGCGACGTTACTACGCATTTATATGTATGGATGCTAGGTAGAGATTTGTGTATTTTCATATTTATTATTTCAACATATGGTGTTTAATTTATGGTTGTTTGAAATATTTTGCTAATATAAATCAGTTTATCGTTTCTATTTTATTTTTTTAGATCAGAAAAATCAGCTAACGGAAATGAAGATATATTTTAAAGCATTTGTACAGGATACAAAACAAAATCTTTTGAAAAAAGATGAAATGTATGGAAGTCAACGTTTTGAGTTATTGCGTCTAATTAAACATAGAAAAAGTTTAAAGCGGGAAACGCTTGTATAATTTCTGCTTTGTTTTATAATAATTTAAAATTAAAAAAATTGTTTTATAATAACATTTATGAATTTTGTTTGATTGTTTTTTTGTTAGGGTAAGGTTTTTAAATAATGTATTTGAAATTTTTTACAATACTCTTTTCAGACTATTTACAAATTAGTCCCTTAACACCCAGGCCCGGACTGGCCCACCGGGAAACCGGGAAATTTCCCGGTGCGCCCCACCATCCCATTATGCGTTGCTCTTATAGAAAATGAGGAAATAGGCATATAAATAAAGAAGGACTTAAAATATTTAACTTATTTTTTCACAAGACATCGAATTTTTATTTATATTTCTATATTTAAAAGAATCATATTCGGTTTTCATAAAAAAACAATTTATTGTATTTTTTTTCGGTTAGTCCGGACTAATTTTAGATTTGTTCGGAAAACTACACAAGTTCGGATGATTTTATTCAAAAGTAGGCGCCTATATTTTATAGAATTTTACAAACTATGTATATGAACACTATTTCAAAATAAACAATATCATTGAATATAATAAACAACTCTGCTATCATATGATACTTGGCTCTTTGCATTCTTTCACAGTTTCTCAACGTTCTATTCTAATAGATGTTTTTAATAACTTGTGGCTATGAAAATAGCCGTTTTTTAAAAAATCAACGCAGAACTGCGTTGAATTTTTAAAAAACGGCTTCTTTCTTACTTCCTAAAATAGTTAATTACTTGTTAAAATTGATTAAATTATTTCTTAAATTTATTTTTAAAAACATAAAAAAAAAAAAAAAAAACTCAATTTTGAATTGTTAATAAACCAAAATTATGAGATTGCCTAACCAAAAAAAAAATCAATCAAAACTATTAACAATATTAATAATAAAACTATTTTACCTTTATTTTAAGCAGTTATCAGAAGAACTGTCACTTTGCTTTCTTAAACTATTTTGTTTTCACTCTTTTTTTATCCATTTTATTTTTTTTTTTGCAAAAAAGGTACATATCAGATGTCATAAACAAATAATTAGCTGTATTCCTAGTGTTTTCTGCAAAAGAGGTTAAACGAGCATGACCAATTCGAGCAGTTTTGTTTTCCTTATTTCTGGCTTCAATAGCACTCTCAGACAAAGAACCTATTGGATACTTAAAATACCTTATAAAAGAAGTACCATGAACTATCACTCTATGCACAGATTGTGACATAGGTATGGTTTTTAAAAATTTATCATTAGTTATGAGTGCAAATAGATGTTCAGATTTCTGTTTGAAAACCTTTATATCCGGTCTTGTAGTTGTTCTGTTTATATCAATGAGTAAATCTCGAAACAACTTAATCATTCTGATATCCAAGTTTAAAATTCTCCCTGTCACAATCGGGTTATTAAAAAATTTGCGAGCAACATTTCCAGTATTGGTTGTTCCACATCCTTTCCAGACAAAAGAAACCCTTATATTCAGTTGTATCTTGAATAAATGCTGGAATTTTTTTTTTGTTTTCAATAAATTCTTTACTCTTTTGTGATGGAATATTTCTTCCTTGCTTAACAGCTGGGAGTTTACAAGCAGTATTGAAAATCCACTCCATACAGCGCATCCATAGATGAAGACTGCAAATTCCAAGTTTCAAAACATGCTTGTTTAAATTAATTTTTTTTTTCCAAATAGTTTTCAAGTTAAACTCCTTAGAATTTGCAAGGTATACATGGCAGGACTAAAATGAAATTTTTTTTTTTAAGCATGTTTGATACAACAGCGTTTAGTGCTTTGCCATCATTCATTGTGGTATAAATAGTTGACCAACTAGATACTACAAAAGTACTTTCACCAAGTTTAAATTCAATATTCTTCAATAAAAAAATTTCATTTTATTATAGAAAAATTTGAACATTTTTCAAATGTTCAAATTTTTCTATAATAAAACTAGCAGTATCTTTTGCAAAACAAAAATGAATATGACGGGTTGCGTCTGGACTATTTGGAATTAAATTTTTCCATATTATTTTTTCTCCACTTCGGATCTCAGCAGTACAAACACTATACTATACACAGAGCGATCATCTACACCTTGTTTCATAGTTGCTGAATTTTGAAACTCAGATTGATCACTTTGACCATCACCTCCTACTTTGCAAATAATTTGTACATTATCACGCTCTTCTTGTGATAAACTCATTATGCAGTTACTTTCATAATCCAAAAGATATTCAAACACTCTAGAAACTGAATGCTTTATCATATGGAAAAGACTACATTTTACTTCGGTTTCAGAATATTCAACCTGTTCTGGATATGTCAATTTTTTGTATTGCTTCAACTTGGTTAAACCTGGAGGAACAAGATGACGATTATGAGTCACTATATTTTTAAATTCAATCCATGTTCTATCTGTAAGTTTCAAATTACAAAGAGCTTGCAATGACAAATTTGAACCATATAAAATAGCCCTACCATCAGTAGAAGAATTAGATTTAAACCTTTTGACAGCATGTTGCAGTTCTTTCACCTCTCGTCCTGTTTGTAAGCTTAATAAAAGACTTTCTAGGTTTTGGTGTACAAGATATATTGACTGCAGATGATTTAGGTACTCTACATGGTACACTATAAATAATAAAAAAATACATTGAAACATATATACATTTTGAAGGTTTTGTGAAACATAGTCAAACAATTTGTATGTGTGTGTGTGCAAAATAAAGAGAGGGAGATACATTTATCTATGCATACCTGTTTACATTGGATCCATGAGTACGGAGCAGTAATTCCCCTTCTTTTATTTTACGCTCACCCTGCTTGATAAGTTGATTACCCTGTTTAATCAGATTTTCACCTTTTCTAATTAATAGCAGTTCTTCCTCATGTGTTCTACTATAAATAAATATATATATATATATATATATATATATATATATATATATATATATATATATATATATATATATATTTATTACTTATTTATAATAAATCGATATAAAATATATTATACTCACAAGAGAGACTTGCATTGTTGATTTTGATCCAAAAAATGTTTATATTTAGTAAGAAAGAACTTTTTTCTTTTTCCACACTCACTAACTCAACACTCAACTAACCGGTTTTTAATAAATCCACCTCTTTTGAATTGATTCTATAGCATGTTACTACAGAGGTAGCCAGAATATTATTTCACTTATAAAAAGCCAATTTGTTTGAGAAAATTTAAAAAAAATAAAAAACCGGCTACCTCTGTAGTAACATGGTCTAATCGATCAATCTTTACAGACACCCAAAAACAATGATCCAAACATTTTTTTTTTTTTTTCTTGGTTTTTAATTTACAAAGTGTATCATTTATTAGAAAATGTGCAAAAAAAATGAAGAAATTTGAAAATTATCTTATGTAATTTAAAGATTTAGTGAAAACATAGTTTTTTTTACCCCTGAAAATCCCGCACCTAAAAAGGCAAATTTAAAAAAAATTTAAAAAAACTTTTTATTTATTAACTAATACTAACTTGTTTCAGTTAAAAAATATTTAAAATATTAAAATTTTTCTGAAAAGTAACTAAAATCCTATTTCCGCTTCGCGACGCATAGTGAGCCAAGGATGCATCCTTGGCACACACACACACACACCCTCACCATAAGTTGTATATCTCCATAATACCAAATGTTACATATAATTAATAACTATAAAACCATTTAGTGTTATCGCTTCAAGTGCAAATTTATTTTCCTTCAATTTCTCACAATACAATTGAAGCATCATTTATATCAGGGGCGAGTTCAGAAATATTTTAGAGGAGGACAGAAAAATATTTTTTAACTTTTTAACAAATACTCACGTGAATTAGTTTTTCTCATGCTGTTTACTTTACTAAATGATAGTTTAAGCTAGACCCGAAAGAAACTTTCTTTTCTCCGAAATTAAAATTTGAAAAAAGTGATTAGGAAAAGTCTGAGTTAGGATCACCCCTCCCTAAACCCGCCCCTAATTTAATCACAAACTTAATAACAAACTGATTTGATACTTCTTATTTTTAAAATCGCCCGTAAAAACTATAACAGACCGTACGTCAGAACTCGGTGCAGTTGTTACCAAAGAAGTATATATGATGTGTATATAGAACTAACAAAAGATGATGCTAACTTAGGTATTCTCAACCATAAACATCAGTGTACCGAAACAATAAAATTGATTTATAAACGGCTTCTTGACAGTGCACAGCATAACCAAAGAATAGCATTAGTAAATAATAACATGATTCAGCCAAACCATAAAGATGTAAAGCATTTACCGTATGATCCAAAAAGAGTATACTAAAGATTGATATCAGATAATAAGTATGTACAAAGACGTTGGATAACCGCAAGAGTTAAAGACAATCAAATCGTGGCACTTTACTGCAATGCATGGATAGCATTTTCGAAAGAAGATTCTAGTTTTACTCTTGGATTTAAAAAGTATTCCAAATATATACCGAAGAATCAAGACCATGAAGAATCAAAATCATATTACGCTCCTGTAATTGCACTATTAAGTTGTACAACAGAGAAAGATATAGTGAAAAAGCAGAAAGCGCAAGTATTGAAAAACATCGAAAAACATCGTCTGGATTATTTAAATGCTTGGAATATAGTAGAGTCAGCAAAACATGAACTGCAGACAATATCGTTCAAAGATGTCTATTCCAAGACAATTGCATTTGTTAAAAAAATCAACATCCACCTAGATGCTACTGAACTTGATTCAGAAGTTGAAACAGAATTGCGTGTAGAACAAGTTCATTGAAAGATACGTATGGCAGGGGAACTCGCCTTTAATGACATACCAGAGAATCCCCTTGATCGTTTCAGAATGTTTTCCGTAGAGTAACTGCTCAGATTACCACTAGCATAGATAAACGTTTCTCAGTTAACAGGGACATCATTAGAGACACTGCATGTTTAGATCCCAGACGTTTTAAAGAAATTGTTGAAAATGGTATTCCAGAAAACAGTCATGAAAAAATTTCTCAACTAACTAATCTTTGTTCTGAAAGATTGAGATCTGAATTGCATAGCATTGCTATAAACTTTGATAGGCTTTCAAAAATACTACGAGATGAATTTACCGTGAGTCCTAATGACAAAGATTCAGAAGAATCGAATTCAGTCTCAGAGTTGGATATTTCAACAAAAGCAACTGAAAATGAGAATGATAGAGATTTTTAGAACTTTGAGCGTTGTCTAGGGGTCTTGTAAAAAATGTTTAAAATGTTGCTATAGTATTTTATACAAATATTCGTTGAATACAATTGCTTATTCAAATCTGTATCTGACTTACGAATATCTATTAACACTTTCATTCTCACAAGTGATCTGTGAACGGGCATTTAGTAAATTAAAAATTGTCAAAACTAGGCTTTGTTCCTCATTATGTAACGACAAGCTTAAAACATTTATGCTGATGTCGACCGAGAAGGACATTTTGGATTCAATTGCAGTTGAGGACGTAATTGGCTATTTGTGTAAGGAATCCTTAGAGTTATCATAGATGTTGCTTCTATAAATTACATTAGGAGATTGTAGTCAGTTACAGTATAAATACCAGATAAACCACAGGGTTTATTTTGATTTTTTTTTTTTTTTATCTTAAATGATTTAAAAAGAGGTTTATTATTTATTCATCATAATAAATTCATCATGTTATTATTATTATTGTTATTATTGTTATTATTATTATTGTAATTATTGCTATTATTATTATTATCATTATTATTATTATTATTATTATTATTATTATTATTATTATTATTATTATTATTATCATTGTCTACATAATTATCATGTATATTTTATACATAAGTAAAATGACATATTGAATTATATTGTAAGCCTGAATGAACTTTGAATTTTGAAAGTGTAACATTATTTTATCTATTCATATTCAAATTAAAAAGATCTTTATATAAATACTAGCCTATTTTCTACCCCTATCCCGATCTTGTAGCGCCCCTCCCTCTTCCCTTCCCGCTAGGATTTGAAGCCCCAGTCCGTGCCTATCATACAATAATATTATAATAAATATAATAATATTAATAAAAAATTAAAAAAAAAATCATAATTCTATTGATTGACAGGGTTTATTTTTATTTTTAATTTTTTACTTTAAATGATTTAAAAAGAGGTTTATTATTCATTTATCATAATAAATTCATTGTGTTATTATTATTATTGTTATTATTATTGCTACTTTTATTATTGTTATCATTATCTACATAATTATCATGTATATTTCATACATAAGTAAAATAACATACTGAATTATATTGTAAGCCTGAATGAACTTTGAACTTTGAAAATGTAACATTATTTTACCTATTCATATTCAAATTAAAAAGACCTTTATATAAAAACTAGCCTACTTTCTACCCCTATCCCAACCTTGTAGCGCCCCTCCTTCTTCCCTTCCCGGTAGGATTTGAAGCCCCAATCTGCGCCTGTTAACACCTCAACATTTAAGGTTGGTTTCTATATAATCGCACAACAGTTGTACGATCGTGGTCGTGCAACAGCAGTGTCCTACGACATAATGTTCCTATTAAACTAAAAACTGATTTTTGTTTACATTCCATTTTTGAAAAATATTAGTTGCGTTGTTCAGTATTAACCAATATAAAACCAAGCGGTTTCAATGAATCGTGATGGGTGATTACGTATCCTTGTGGCTAGAGGTATTTACTGGCGTCCCTCAAGGATCCTTCCAAGGTCCAATACTTTTTATCATTTTCGAGAACGATATATCCGATATCGTTAACCATCCATGTAAAATGTATGCTGATGATACAAAACTTCTGGCCCGTTTAGACCACCAATTAGGCTCGCAAAAACTTCAAACTGATATCTACAACATAGCCGAACGGTGTAAAACCTGGGAAATGAAACTCAATATCGATAAATGTAAAATCATGCATATAAGTAAAACAAACAATTTTTATGTCTACTCAATGGCGGCTAATAACAATAATAGTGTCGAACTAGCATCGACAACTTAGCGAATAACTATTATTCAAAAACTCAAAACTAAATTTTGAGTCACAAGATGGTATTTATTATTTCCCAATGGCATATTTTATAATGAAAACATTTAATAAATACATGTTTTTTGATACATTTTTGAGAATCTTATCTTGTTATTAATACTTGAAAATACAAGTTGTAAACTTCAAAACACGCACTTATTACAGCCATTGAAATAAAAGTTAGTTTTTAAACTTTTTTGTTGAAGGAATCTGAGCAACGATTACCAATTTTGATATCAAAACTGATTAAGTACAAAAAAAAAAATCGAAAATAACGCCTAAAAACACTTATAATCGTGTATTTTTTAATTAGAAATATATATTTTTTTCTATATCTTTTCTGATATCTTTTTCAAACACCTACATAAAATTTCGTTATATATGTGCCTAATAAATAAAGTAACCATGTTAAGTGAATATTTTTATAAAGTTTCAATAAAAGTGAAAAAAATTGCGGGAGACATGTTATACATGTTATACAATGCAATTTTTATTTCCAATCAAATTTTCAAATTCAAAAATTGTTTATACATTGATGTATTAAAATCATGTAATTAATTTTAATATTAAAATTCTATTTTTTTGTTTAATTATTTTTGATTTTAAATCTATAAATATAGAATAAACTGTGTTCATTAATATAATAGAATATATGTAGAATATTAAAATCAATTACAATAAATTTAAATTAAAGGATTTATTTTATGTAATCTTAGAAAGGGTATTAAAAAAAGATAAAGTAATAACATTCTAAAATTTAGTAAAAAGCTGTTATTTATCAAACTTTAGTAAAAAGCCATTTAATAAACTTTGGTTCTTTAATCAAGCAAATACAGCCATTAAAAAAATGATCCTATTAACAGCAAAACTCAATTAACTTTTTTCTAGTTCTTTTAACTTACGTTCTAAACTTGCTATCTCAACCTTCAAAGCAGAACACCTGTTTTTTTTTTCTTCAAGATGATGTTTTAATCGAGACAACTGCGCTGCATTGCGTTTCTATTAAAAATAATTTATTTTATCATTTTATTATTTACATACTCATAAAAAACATTTTTAGTAATAAAGAAACTACGAACAAAAATAAAAAATTATAAACGTTAACAACATACATTTATTGCATCTACTTCTTTTCTTAGCAAAATTGTCTGTTCTTTCAAATTGCACATCTTTAAAAAAAGACACAATTAAGTTAAAACTAAATCATCAATCTAATTTTTTTTTTTTTTTGATGTTTAAGAAAGATAACTTTAAGATATTGAGCAAACTTGGGTATGTTTATGCTTATATCAAATGAGGATGCTTTGCAAAAAATTGTTGCAATTTGAGGCTAGAGACAAAAAAATATATATTACTATTCTAAACTAAATTTATATTCATCAATAGATTTTAAACTTTATCAAATAATAGTTTAGGGTTGGGAAGTAAAATTTATAACTTCATGTAAAATTTATAACCCCTCACTTTAACAAGTTTGGATAAATTTAGTTTAGAATACCAGTAATATAAATCTCAGTAAGTTATTGCTTTTAAGCTTGATATTAGAGGGGTCTTCGACACATCCTTTTTTATAGATACCACTCAAGTTTTTCATTCTCTGAAATAAATGAAGAAAAAAATTTCAATAGTCAAAAAGTGGTATCTAAAAAATTATTTAAATTTTTTAGATACCACTTTTAATAATTTTGAAAATAAATGCCCATATTTAATTAATTTGTTAGGAAATTTTTCTCATATTTAATTTTACACACGTTATATATACACTTTACACATAGCTAAAAATTAATTATTATATAACTATTTAATGAATGATTGAATGAATAAATGAATTAATGTATGTCATGTAATTTAATATTTAAGAGTATTTTTAAAAATGGGTTGTTCTTGTAAGAAAAAACAAGTAAAGGAGAAAAGAGAAAGATGCAGACTAGTCTCAGAGGGCTACTGTTTCTTTTTCTGTTTCTATGTTTCTTTTAAGTAACCGATTCAGATGTCCACAAACCAGATGCCCACAAACCAACTTTTAAGTATCTTATAAACCAGGTCCAGTCTCCATAAATCCATTATTCTCAGATTACAAAATTTGGAAAATACCCTTTTGGAAAATCTTTAACAATTTCATTAACAAAGACAAGTCTAAAATTTCATCTACCATACATGGGTCTGATTTGATTACCTCTCTCAAGGATAAGGCTGACCTATTTGCAAATAACATTCCTCTAATCCATCTTTTGAATTAATGACTACACTCTTTCTGTTATTGTAAAGAGAAAAGTTAATCTACTGTTAGACATACAAATCATCCACTTAAACTCCTTTAAAGTATGTAATCCAGACAACACTTCTGTCACAGACTTATAAAATTCCTATCACTGGTTTTATGAACCAAAACTCAATCTTGATAGGCATACCATTCATCAAAATCCTTTGTTTTAGGAACCAAAAAACCATTGTTTTTTTTTTTTGGAAATTCAGAATGTTAAAAAAAATTTAAATTATAAAAGAATAAAAGACAGGAGTCCATTATTCTCCTGTGTCATCACTTACTCACAAACTAATAAAACTCAAGGAGGAAAAATTATTTATCCCCTTTGATTCACAATTTTAAATATTAAAATTGAAATTCTTTATTGCTAACTGAAAAATATTTATATTGCTGGCCAAATTGTGGAGAAGCAGTTTGTTACTATTCGCCAAGATTTGTTATGTATCATTTTTTTTTTTATTTCAATTTTATACGTGCATTTTTAAACAACTATAAAATTAAGTATATATTACACAACATTAATTGACATGTAAGAACAACATTGATTGACATGTAAGAACAACTTCATCGACATGTAAGAACAACATTGATTGACATGTAAGAACAACTTGATTGATATGTAAGAACAACTTGATTGACATGTAAGAACAACGTCATCAACATGTAAGAACAACATTGATTGACATATAAGAACAACTTGATTGACATGTAAGAATAGACATATTTAAATTGTAGTACATGTACCAACATAAAACCAACAATCAAAAGAACTTCTTTGTGATGTATTTAGATATTTTATAAAATTTTCTAATTTGATCTATAATGTCAAAAAGAACTTTGTTTTAATACATATACAATTACTACTAATACTATAAATTGTATCAAAGTTTTAGTTCACTGTTAGACATCCAAATCACTACCATTTCTGTTAGATATTTCCTTCCTAAACTCCTCAACAACTTATGGTCCAAACTTCTTGCAATTAATGTTTCTGTTTTATTAATGTTTGTTTTAATGTTTATCAACTTTATTTACTACAATTTATATACACATTTGTATATCATATGTTATATTTGGTTAGTCAATCAATGTGATAAACCTTATAAATTCATTCACAGATGAGACGATTAATGATTTACAATGAGATGATAATTCACAGAGGAGATGTTTGATGATTCACAGATGACTGACGATTTATAGATGAGACGATTGATGATTCAGCAGATTTATATAATTACCATAAAGATTTTTTTCCTACAGCAACCAAGAATACAAGATTTAAACTAAAAAAATGCAGTTAAGTAATTTTTCTTACTCCCTCTCCCTCCCCCCTAGCCTTAACAATTTATGGGTTAGTATTGACATTGAGGGTGATATGATGAATTTCCCTATTACACTTTTATAATTAATTATGGATTTTGATTAAAATTTAAAATTTTGATTTTCAATTTTGAAACAATTTTAAATTTTTGAAAATAAATAATTTTAAACTATTCAAACTTCACTAGAGAAACTAAACAAACAAAAAAGTAGACTAAATGCAGTCTTGAATATTAAAATAATTACATTTTTTTGAGAATGTTCAACATCTTTTTCCTGCTCTTTTAAATCACGTACAGCTTCTGTAACTTCATCTTTTAAACGTACAGCTTCTGTAACTTCATCTTTTAAACGTACAGCTTCTGTAACTTCATCTTTTAAACGTACAGCTTCTGTAACTTCATCTTTTGATAAAAACTGTTCCTCATTAGAGAGCACCTTAACTGAAAGTTTTTTACATAAAAAATTTAAGAAATTATTCACTTTTTTTTCAGAATAAATGCAAAACTTTTTATTTGAAAATTTAATTTTTATTTTTTATTTCTTTCTTTGTTCTTGAATAATCTCACTTTACTAAAAAACAAGAAAAAAAAAAGTTTTTAATTAATTCTACATTTTCTAAATTTAAAACAATTTTTACTAGACTTTTGATATTAGCATCTTCAACTTTAACTACAAACAAACAGTTATGTCGCTCTTTAATTTTTTTTAAAAAAAACCTTTTAATGCAAACTACAGGTAAGTCTGTATTTTTTTATTTTTTTCATTTTAATTCACCTCCTCAAGGCCGAGAAGGCCACTACAGACGAGGAGGCTACTTATTTGTGGCTATAACCCTCTCTCAACTCTATAATTTCGAAACACGAACCTTGACGAACAAGGCCGCTGCGCGGAGAAACGAGTTGAGCGCGGTACTACCAGGGACGTGGTGGGGATTGAACTTGGAACCACTCGTTTATGAAACGAGCGCTCTACCACTACACCACTACCGCATTAAATTTTTTAAGTTTTAATGCAAACTACAGATAAACCTGTAGTTTTAATGCTAACTACAGGTAAGCCTGTAGTTTTAACGCAAACTACAGGTAAGCCTGTTTGTTTGTAATTAAAGATAATAGTATCAAAAATCTAGCAAAAATTTCTTAAAGATTATAAAAACTAGTATTGAGAGGACTTGTAAAATTTGCTAAACGTGTCAATCAGCAATAAATCAGAAAAAAAATCATTGATAAATGTTCAAGTGTTTGATAGTTATAGTATAGCATAACAACAACAAGCTATTTATTTTCTGTAAATCATTTTTACAGTAGTTTTAGTAATAATAAAAATAAAAATAATAACAATAATAATAGTAATAATAAGAATAATATATAATAATAAAAGATAAAATTAATACAAATTTTAGTAATTATTACTTATAAGTATGTTTACAATAAAAAATAAAATAATAATAAAAATTATAATTGGTAGTTATAAAAATATATATAATAATAAGTTAGTGATTTATTAGGATGGTGTCACTCATACAGAAATCTGATCAAAGGAGTGACACCAACTTAAAAAAAAGACTTAAAAAAATACATCAAAACACATGGACCGTAAACACATAAATTAAAGAACATAGAACATACATTTAAAATAAACATGTAGAAATCATAATTTGCATTTTTTAATAATAAAAAAAAAGAAAAAAAGAAACAAACAAAAAGTAATAATAATTTAGTAACTAAGAAAAGAAAATTAATAGACTTTAATAAGAAGAATAATGTCTAAAAGTTAGAATAAATTGTTTTTCAGATTTTTTTAAAATTGATTTTGTTCAAGATAGAGTTAAGGTATTTAGGATGTAATAAATATTTTTAGGATATAAGTAAATTATTTTCATAATTATAACATAAATATTCAATTAAAAATATAAATACATACATACATACATACATACATACATACATACATACATACATACATACATACATACATACATACATACATACATATATAAAGCAAAAGCTAGTAAAGTACAAGAACACATTAACTAGTTGACATTTTGTTATGCTTTACCATTAATGTTTGTTGTCAAATTTTGTAATTTATTGTAAATTTTTATAAAAAATACATATACTTTTATACTTTACAGACCATTGTGTTTCATAAAACACATTAGAAATTAATGACATCTGATTTGTGCTTTCTAGAAAAACTTGATGATAGCTTTGAATATAACGATTGTATTATGCACTTGCACAACTAAAATGAGATTATTAATGACTAGATTGAGACAATGCGTGTTGGAAAAAAAATCTGCATATCTTACCTTGAACCTTGCCTTGCTAACTAACCATTTCTAGAAAGCTTTTTCAGTGTAACTTTGTTATTTCCAGTCTGCATTTATTGCCTGTATTTAAATTAGTATCAGCAATTGCAAAAGCCCTCATTTGTTCCAGTGGAAGGAATCCATGATATTTGTCACAGAATTTAAATTTACCACCAGAACCTACTAAAAACTTTTTGCAAAACATGACTTTTTCGTTCCTGATATATCAGGCGTTTCTTCTACTAAGATTAAAAAACCTATAGGTCTGTTTAATGATTTAACAATTTGTGTCTGTATCAACTCCTTGCAAATCTCTATCAAATCTTTCTTGGTCCTGTTTGATTTAACATGTATTTCTAGCCAAAGTCTATAGATGCATTTCTATATCTTTATATTGGTCGATTGTTTGGGGGTTCAACTTGCAGCCTTTCTTGAAGATGATAGTGATTTTTGCTTTTTTTTTCACCAGCCTCAAGTAAATCGGGCACATAGTGCTAAGTAAGATAGCAAAATCTGACACACAGTACTTAATTTAGGGTGAATGCTGTCGAAGTCCATTGATTTGGTTTTAATCAAGTACAAAAGCTTTGCTTTTATGAATTCGTACAATGTGAATGTGTTTGATTGGTTTGTGCTAATGAAGCAAGGGTTGATTATTAGGAGAGGCCCTGTTGACTTGGCTCCAAGAACTTGTCAAAAATAATTATTAATTGCATTGTAAATTACTTAAGGGTCTGTTGTTGTTTGATTATTAGTTGTATCAAGTTTCCAGCTAAAATAATAGAAAAAAAAAATTCACTGCAAAAATATTAAAAAAAAGGAGTCATTGAAGACTAGTGGAAAAAATCTTCACTGGTGGGTATTTAAATAAGAGTAATAGATTTTTAGTAATTCAGGTGTGTAGACAGTTTTTACATTAGCATTAATAGAAGGAAAAAAAAACGGAATTTTTTTTCTTTCAATTTAGAAAACCTGTATTATTTATTAAAAAAAAATTTATTTTACTACTAAATTAGCATGTGTTATTTCAACAATATATATAATTATGAACAATATACATAATTATGAATGATGTACATAATTACGAATGATGTACATAATTATGAATGATATACATCTGATAATATGAGTACACTAATTTATTATTATTATTAGTCGAGTTATGTCATTTTCTAGGCTTTTCTATTTTAAAGTAGTTTCTAGGCTTTTTTATATGCGGTTTTTTTTTTTTTAATTTTATTTACTAACAACGCGTATTACCGGTTGCTTACTGTTAGTAATTATGAATGATATACATAATTATGAATGATATACATAATTATGAATGATATACATAATTACGTATATCATTTATACTTAGATCAAAATATAAATAATAAACACATTTTTTTTCTTTTTCAAAACCCTTCAGAATTTTCATGATTCATAACTGAAATCAGGATTTTCAAAAGATTGCTACAAAATTGAATATATTACATATTTATATTTGAAAAACTTTATGTATTTCAAAAAATTGTATAATAATATACAATTTTTTAAATAAACACTTTGTTTAAACCTTTATTATTACATAAAATTTTTTATTTAGCATTTTGAAGAAATGGATAATAAAAAATACAAAAGTTTCTTGTTGAAAATTGAAAAATAGAAGATTGCGGGACTACAAAAGCTTTTTTAAATGTCATTTGTCATCAAGAATTAGGGATGTTGTGAAAAAACCTACTATTAGTTAATGGCAAAACCACAATATCCGCAAAGTCAAGGTTCAGTTGAGCAAAGCTCAGAAGCTTTATTCAGAAACCTAGAATGACATTATCTTCATTAATTTCTTAGGAATCTTTAATAAAAATTAACAATGGAGTTTTTAAAGAAGATATAGAATTTTTGTTGGAAAGGGAAAAACAAACTAATTAATCTGGAAAAAATCACAAGGTGCAAGTATTTAGTGTTGGTATGAAAGACTGGTCAGGTCAGGTTTATCCTGCTACTGGTAACATGTAACCTAGTACAATCTGCTTCATGTCCTGCTGCCTTGTAGGATATGCCTTTTCAGGCAAAGGTTAGGAGATGCAAACTCCGACATAAAACACGCCTTGGGGCTCTTGTTTGAGTAAAAGCTAGAGATGGTGTCTCGATAAAAATACTCATCTTGGGCAGATGTTAAATGCATCGGGCTGCTGTCTTGTAGAAGGCCTCCTAGGCAAAGACTAAAGGGGTAAACAGATTCTATCTGTTGACCAGCCTCGCACCCCTTCTTCATCTATTAGGCTGACGCAGATGTATTTTTAATACATTGTTTCCAGTTTAGGATGTTGAACGCTGGATCTTCTTGACTCCATTTATGGGTTTTGCTTGTGTCTCAGTTCTAAAACTCAGCTCTAAAACTCAGTTTTATGGTTCTGAGGCCGGCTGGTAGTCAGGTTCCCGAACTCTGTGGTAGCTCTCAGAGAGGCTGATTCCATCAACAGCTGAAAAATATCAGAGTACTAACAGTGCCATGTTGCGCATGGATGGTTTGTACTTTTGGTGTGCATTGCCAAGGCCACATTGGAGTCCTTTGTTACGGCTTAGGGTTTATTAGTGGAAATGAGGCTTGAGCTATAAAACAGTGTACTAAGTACTATCTATGTTTCGAGTCAAGTTTTTTAACAAATTTAAAAATGAATAAAGTAACAAAAACCATAAAACACAAAAAACCACACTCATCACCAAGTTCGCTAAACCTATCATTCACCAATACTCGTGGTCTTCGAAGTAACTTTTCTTCTGTTGAGTCTTATCTCTTGCAAAGTTCACCAGACCTACTAGCTCTTTGTGAGACTAATTTGAGTTCAGCTGTCTCATCTTGTGATCTTAGTGTTGATGGTTATCTTCCTTTAATTCGTAAAGACTCCAATAGTCACATGCTTGGCCTGGGCATTTACATTCGTAAGAATTCACCCATTTGTGGGCAAACTAGGTTTGAATCCACAGACTACTCTGCTTGTGAAAGTGGTGCTTTCGTTTAGCACCACTTCACTCTATCATCTTTCTCTTTGTTCTATATCGCTCTCCCTCATCTCAAGACTGCACTATTCTTGATATTATTTCTGATTATATTGACCAAGCCCTCATTCTTTATCCATCAGCCAATATTGTTGTTGTCGGTGACTTTAATGTTCATCACACTGAATGGCTTGGCTCTAGTGTCAGTGACTCTGCAGGCATTAAGGTCCACAACTTTTGTCTTTCTCAATCCCTAACTCAAATAGTCAACTTTCCAACTCGCTTTCCAGACAACCCAAATCATTTACCTTCTCTACTCGACTTATGTCTTGTTTCTGATCCTAGTCAGTGCTCAGTTTCTTCACACTCACCCTTAGGTGCTTCTGATCATGGTTTGGTCTCTCTAAAACTATTATCTCATTCTTCTTTACCATCAGAGTCTCCCTATCATCGTACATCTTACAACTACCTTAAAGCTGACTGGGACTCTTTCCGTGATTTTCTTCGTGATGGCCCCTGGGTAGAAATCTTTCGTCTCCTGTTGACAAATGCGCTTCTTACATAACTTCGTGGATTCAGGCTGGCATGGAATCCTTTACTCCCTCTCGACGATTCCAGGTCAAGCCTCACTCTTCTCCATGGTTTTCCTCACATTGTGCTGCTGCAATTGCCAATCGAAACCATTACTTCCTTATCTATCTGCAAAACAATTCTCTAGAAAACAAACGTCTGTTTATTACTGCTAGGAACCATTGTAAAAAGGTTTTGTCTAATGCCAAAGCCCGCTATTCTCAGATCATGAAATCTTGTATTTCATCACAAAAATTAGGCTCTCGTGACTTCTGGAGAATCTTTAATAGTATCAATAATAAGGGCAAGTCTGTAATTCCACCTCTTTTGTATGGTTCAGACTTTGTCACCTCACCTAAAGACAAGGCTGAATTGTTTGCCAAGAACTTTTCATAAATATCATCTCTTGATGCCACTAGTTGCGTTCTACCTGATATAGCCGTCAAACAGGTTGATCCATTGCTCGACATTCGTATCACTCCAGCTTCTGTATCTAAAGTGATTTCCCGCTTAGACTCTTCTGCAGCTTGCGGCCCGGACAACATACCTGTTATAGTCTTGCAGAAGTGTTCTCCGGAGCTGTCCTTTCAAAACTATTTAACAAGTGCTTATCAGTCTTGTTTTCCAGCCTGCTGGAAAGTAGCTTCTGTTATCCCTATTTTTTAAGTCTTTAGTCTTCTTCCTATCATAAGCAAGGTTTTTGAATCTTTAATTAACAAACACTTAATCTTCCATCTTGAAAGAATAACCTACTTTCTGATCATCAATATGGATTTCGATCTTCTACGGCTGATTTGCTATCAGTAATAACCAATAGGTTTTATCGCGCATTAGATAAAGGTGGAGAGGTTAAGGTGATTGCTCTTGACATTTCTAAAGCGTTTGATAAAGTTTGGCGTGCTGGTCTTCTCCATAACTTTTCTTCTTACGGTGTATCTGGAAACATCTTTAAGATTATTGAATCCTTTCTTTCCAATTGTAGTATAAAAGTTGTCCTTGATGGACAGCACTCTTCTTCTTATTCTGTAACCTCAGGGGTTCCCCAAGGTTCAATCCTTGGCCCTATACTCTTTTTAATTTACATTGATGATCTTCCAGATATTCTCACATCTAAGGTGGCATTGTTCGCTGATGATACTACCATTTATTCTTGTCACGATAAGAAGCCAACTCCCTCCGATTGCTTGCAGGGGGCATCTGAGCTTGAAAAGGATCTCACTTCTGCTACAGCATGGGGCTCACAGTGGCTGGTGAACTTTAATTCAGATAAAACTCAATTTTTTTCGGCCAATTGTTATCGCAATTGTTTAGACCTTCCTATATTTATGAACGGTAATGTACTCGATGAGTCTCCTACCCTTCATCTTCTAGGATTAACTCTTACTTCTGATCTTTCTTGGAAACCTTATATCAAATCTGTTGCAAAATTAGCATCTGCTAAAGTTGCTTCTCTTTATCAAGCTCGTCACTTTCTTACTCTGGATTCTATTCTCTATCTCTATAAATCTCAAATCCGACCTTGTATGGAATACTGTTTCCATATCTGGGGCAGATCTTCTAATGATGCTCTTTCTCTTTTAGACAAGGTGCAAAAACGCATTGTAAACATAGTTGGACCTGCTCTTGCAGCCAACCTTCAACCTCTGTCACATCGTCGTAATGTTGCTTCTCTTTCTCTTTTTTACAAATACTAAAATGGGCACTGCTCAAAAGAGCTAGCGTTTCTTCTGCCATCTACTAAAATTCATTCTCTGGTTACTCATCATTCAATTAAGTCTCATCCATTTTCTGTTACTGTTCCTAAGTGCTCCAAAAACTCTTATTTATCTAGTTTTTTTCCTCGAACATCAGTTCTTTGGAATTCGCTTCCTTCATCTTGCTTTCCTGATTCATATAACTTGCAATCTTTTAAGTCGTCTGTCAATCATTATCTTGCTCTACAATCTTCATCTTTTCTCTTCCAGCAACTTCCAACACTAATTAGTGGTTGCTTGCAGCCTTGTTGAAAGCGAAAATAATTAAAAAATAAAAAATAAAAAAATTTGTGATTTAGGTATAGATTGAATTGCAATTTGGCTAATTAAGACCAAACTTTGATACTGTTAAAAACTTATTATGATCCTAGCCCTTTACTTAATTACATACTTAATTTACATAATTAATCACTTAATTACAAACACTTGGTTTTATGACCAAGTTATTTATCTTCTTGGTTCAAGGTTGTCTATACCATGTTAACTAAGTTCCCAATAATTAAAATCATTGTTGCACAGTGATTTAAAAAAAAAATTATTAAAAAATTATTTAAAAAAAATCTTATAAACATAACTAAAAATATTATTATTAGTAAGAAAATCAGTAACCTGTCTGCTTGTTTTCTAAAATCTGTGAATGAAGAATTTTAATCTGTTTGTGAATTTCATTATTTTCAAAATAAAGGTCCATATTTTTCTTAAAAGATTCCATTTTTTCTGTGTATATTTGAAACTCTTTAACTGATCTGCATTGAGACCATTTACTTTCTAAAAGCTTATTGTGCAAACATTGTTTCTCTTTAAGTATGGAGACAATATCTGTCTGTAGCTCTGAGCAATTCTTCTTTAAAGTTAAAGAGCTATCCTGATAATAAATTTTAATTAAAACTTAAAAAAACCATGTGTTGTTGTTTTTTTACTATTTACTTAACCCTTTTAAAAAAAATGTATAAAAAAAAAAAAATTCAACTCTTGGAATTAGGAAAAATGAGGTCGGCAAATTATTGCTGACCTCAATCTTTTTGAGGTTGGCAAAAATTATTTGATACAAAGGTCTGATCATAAAACATAGAACCGAGGTCGGCAATTTTTTGCCGACCTTAAACACTTTCGTTAGGTCGGCATTGCCAAATGCCAACCCTAATTCCGAGGGTTGATAACTTTTAAGTCAAAATTTTAAAAATAAAAATAATAAATTTGAAATAGATAATGAAATATAGATAATGACATCTAAGAGTCACCTGCATTAAATACAATTTTCTGTTCAAAGATTTTAAATCTAATTCAGCTTCATCATAAACTTTCAAAGCTAAAAAAAAATTATTATTTTTCTAATTTTAAAGGTAAAAAAAATGATTCATATTTTTGACAATACATTAATATATTAATATATATTAATGTATTGTTGTTGATTTTAAGATATTTGACATTGAGGTTTTTTTGTTTATTTTTTGCCCATTTTTTATTCAGATAAATTTTTGATATATAATAAATTCATATAAATAATTATAACTTTTAAAAAGTTTTTTAACATATTTTAAACTCTATTCAACCGTATAAAAACAAAGTGACTTACTTTGATATAGATCCTATATATCTAACCTAAATATTAATACATTTTTCTCCTATTCTGACTTCAAAATAAACCTTGATAATTGAGGCAGGTTTGGCCTTAACAGTTTGGTTTAGGCAGCAAAAATATTTGTTGAGAAGAAAAAAAAACATTGCACACTTTTAAATAAATAAACTTTTATAAATACAATATCAAATAAAATATAAAACAATATAAAAGGTGAGTTTTTTTTTATGACTTATAATAAATTGTGTTGCAGCATGAGAGTTTTTGATGCTTTTTGATGTAAAGAAAATAAAAAATATATTGAAGTAAGAATTTTATTTATGGAATTAAAAAAGTTATCTAGTTAGTTAAAAGTAATCTTATAACAACCTTAGTAAATACTTGTTTACTATTAAGCCCCTCAAAACACAAATAAATAAATAAAAAAAGGAGTGAAAGAAAGTTTTATGTTGGGTAATGAACCAAATCATATGACCTATTATCTTAATGATGAACATATACTATCAAATATGTTAAAGAACAAATAACTAAAATAAAAATAAAAAAATTGTACTCACCCTGTTCTAACTCAAACTAAATGTAGAAAAGAAAAAATATTAGGTTTGTCTTAAAACTAAAAAAAAAAAATTATCGCTATTATTTATTGAAGTACCTGAAGCCTGGTAAGTAATTCCTGTTTACTATTAAGTTGGGTACTTTGATATTTTTGAGCTTCAACAACTTCACCTAAAATCAACGATAATTTTTATTTCAAACTAAAATTTGAGTGTAAATGTATTCATGGAAATTCTCTAAAATATTCCTTTTGTCTATACAGTTGACATAAAAAGCTTAATAAGCATCAAGGATATTAACTTAAAAGAAGAACAAAAAAAATACTCTAATCAAGCATTCTCTCGTAGAGCTTGATTGGAGCTTATAAAATAAGAAAAAGATAAATAAATATTATGAAAAAAGATTGCAAAAAAGGGGAAATATTTTTATTGTTGCAATTTGCACATGATTTGAATTTGAAAGTTTATTAAGTTTCTTTAGGTAAACTTTAAAGACTTGAAAATTGCATATTTAAAGCATCTGAAATCTATTTTAAATAAACCAAAACCTTAATAAACCAAAAATAAATAGCATTATTAGTTAATTAATAAACCAATCAGCATTCTAGGTTAATTAAAATCATTGCAACTTATAAAAGATATAGCTTTAAAAAAATCCTAAATAAACCTGTGGCAATTAGGTAAAACTCCATAAGTTAATTTTTCATGAAAATTGATACGATAAATTAAATGAAATAAATTAAATCAGATAACAGTTGTTATATCTGATTTAAGAAAACAATTGCCATAGAAAAAATCTCTAGCATAAAAATAAATTTAAAATAACATTAAAAAAATATTTCAAAATTTTTTCGTACAAAATTTTGCAATTTTGTATATTTAGAAATTAGAAAGTAAGAAAATAATTTTTTTTATAACTGAAAATGTCTGATGTTTTAAATTTTAACTAATGTTTGATGCTTTAGAAAATAAATAAATGTAAATAAATAAATAGAAAATAAATAAATAGATGTAACCTGTTAAAAAAACTAGTGAACCATCAATTGGAACTTCAGAACATTTAAAACTTATTTCATTTTGTTGGACACCAACTCTTGCTGGTGTTGGAGGATTAAACCAATCATTAAACTCCATTCTGCATTAAAAACTAATCACTCAATTTTTACCTACTAAATCAAAAAAATAACCTAACTCTTTCTTACTGAACCAAAACCAATCTATAACTAAATCAAAACCAATCAATAAACTTTTTTTACTGAATCAAAACTTATCAATAAACTTTTCTTATTTAAAAACTATTCAAGTTTAATCTTAACATTTAAAACTTGTTCAAAAAAAAATATAGGAACTTATATAAACTATTTATTTATCTATCTATCTATCTATCTATCTATATATATATATATATATATATATATATATATATATATATATATATATATATATATATATATATATATATATATATATATATATATATATATATATATATATATATATATATATATATATATATATACACACACACACACACTCGCACATAAAATATAGGTTTGTATTTTTTCAGAAAACTGATTTAAGTAGGTAATAAAAGTCAGTAAATTTATATAGTAAATATATTATTTAAATTAAATTTTATAAAAACTAGAAAATATAAATAAACAAATATAGCAAAACATTTGATTGATTAATGAACAATTTATTAGCAAAAAAAATTAATTTACTTGACCAAAATTTTAAATATACATTTTCCATTAATTATTTGTATTTTTTGCCATTAAAAAATAACATTAGAAATCAGAAGACATATACCGCCTCATATTCATTTCCCATTTTTTATCTTTTTCTCTTTGACTACTTTCTAATAAATTTTTCTTTTTATCGGAAAACTGAGTCTTATGACAAAATTTGTTATCATTTTTTAACATACCAAGTCCATGTCTATTTTGTTTTATTACTGGTTTCACTGGGTTTCTACGCCCACAGCCATCCAGGCCAAGTCCAACATTGGAATTCCACCCACTACGCAACATCATTTGAAAACCAATGTTAGTGTCTGGAATTCCATAAATATTTTTAACAACATTTTTATTGTCATTAAATATGTGCATTACTGAAGATTCATGCTGAATTCGCTCATTTTGATGAAAGCTTGAATCACAAAGTTCACATTTTAATAATGTTTCTCCTGAATCTTTGTTAATCATTTTAGTTTTTTTTCTATTTCGGCTGCAATCGACTGATGTTGATGTCTGACATGATGACTTAATGCTACCATTAAAACTGTTAGTTTTACAATTATTATACTTATTTTCATTGTCTAACAAGTAAACATAAATTCCGAATTGATTTTTTAGCTCACAAAGTTCAAATAAATCCATACCCGAATTATCAGTCACATTTTTATATTCACAACCTTCTTTCAACAAATATTTTACTATATGTAAATGCCCTTCAGCAGCTGCACACATCAATGCATTCCAACCGAATTCATCTTGTCCATTCAAAATTGCATTAAAATCAGTGTACCCTTTAATATTTTTAATGCAACGAACAACACTATTTTTATTTCCAGATGACGAGGCTCTCAGCAAGTTATTTACTAATTGTCTCACGATAGTATCATCAGCAGGAATCAGATTACCACCAAAATTGTATTCTTCTTCTTCTTCTTTGACTTTAACATGACATTTTGTAGTGTCACAAGTAGTTTTAGAATTTTTGTCATTGGATTTATCTTTAACAAGATTCTCGTAAAACTCTTTGGCTTCATTTCCTGTAATATTGGTAGATGAAGTTTTATAATAATCAGAAGACGCTTTTGTCTCAATTGACGAGACTGGAGCTACAAAACTACATTGATACTGATGCAGGACTGAGTCTCGATCAATATTATTTGTTTTATTTTTATTCAACATTTCTAAAAAAAAAAATACATTTAACAATTATAAATTTTAACACATTCATAAAATAATAAAACAGAATACACCTAATACTGACTTTATTAATTTGATATAAATTAAAACAAAAAAAATTGAAAAATAAAGTAAAATTCTTTAGTATAATTTGTTAATGGAATATGAAAGAGGATAATGTAACAGGGTGAAAAAAGTGAATGAAAACTACAAAAAAACATTAAAAATGATAACAATGATAAAAATTTCTAATACAAAAATTATTAAATTCATCATTCTAGTTTATAAATTTGATAAATAATAAATCAACTAAGCTGATAATTATAATTGTGATTTATTTTTTAAAATGTCAAGTGCATCAATAAGTACTTTCTTAAAAACTTTATGTCTCATTATTTCTTTGCCATTTAAATGAATGACAGGAATCTCATATTTATACTTCTCAAACCAAGTTTGGTTGCCAGCAGCAGTTATATCGATTTCTTCCAGAACAAACTATTAGATAAAAATAAGATTGCAAGACAATGCTATAATGATTAAGGAGTTATTTGCAAATTACATCACAAAATGTGTGTGGGGTGGGGGGGGGTGGGGGGGGTGGGGTGGGGGTTTGAGGAATATATATATATATATATATATATATATATATATATATATATATATATATATATATATATATATATATATATATATATATATATATATATATATATATATATATATATTAACTGAGATATATAATCACTTTGTTAATTTATACAAGTTTACATGGATTGCAAAAAATAAAATAAAATTATAAAAATCAAAAACTAAATGTATTAAAACATCAGTTAATTAAAAGCATCCAAAGAAAATTTTAAATATTAAGTAAAGTATTAGGATCTGTTAAAAGGAGGGGGAAGGGGATTCAAAATGTTATGAACTGTGTGATATAATCTTCGGCAAGCCCTAAGCAGATAATTTAAAGAAAATTTAAAAAAATTTATAATTACTGATGATTTCAAAATTCTATAATTTTAGCTATTAATACTTATTCAATAAAAATCTTTTTTAAAATTTCCTTAAACACAATATATGGTGTTTAAAACATTACAGGAATTTGAAGAAATGAATTTATAAAACATAATACTTTATCAAAGTATAAATGTTTCACAATATCAATTAAGAAAACTTACCATTCCTTCAAATTTTTTGAGTTCCCTTTTTGCTTCATCACATAGTGAGCAATTTTCTGCCTAACAAAATTTAGTGTGAAAAATGAAAACATAAAAGTGGTGAAAAATCAAAATATACAGTGTTTTTCTCATTACTGGAACATTAGTATTTTTTAAAAAAACTCACTTTTGAATACAAAGTAACAACAGGCAAAGGTTTAAATGAGCAAAAATATCGCAATAAAGAGTATGACACTTGATGCCACTTGATCTGTGTAACAATGGATGACTTATTTATTTTTATCATCTTAATTCAAAACAAAACAATAAATTTCTCAGAAGTAAATTGAACTCAGTTTATATTTAGTTTAATATTGATAATAAATAACATGATTAGTATTTATTTTGAAGAAATTATTTATCTTAAATATTCCAGGGAAAACTATATAACAAGAAAAATTTGTATACTTTTTAAGCATCATATTATTTGCAAATTTTTTAAAGTTATATAGAAATCTAAATAAAATTTAAAATATGTTACTGTTGTAAACAAGAGTTGTTTTTGCAGTCCTATTTATGACTAGCAAACTACTCCAAAAGGTAAACTAACTTTATGAATTTATAAATATATAAATTATTAATTCAGAATAAACTAAATTAATTATTAATCAAACAGATTACTAAATTTAAATGAAACTTAACAGAGGTTAGACAGAATAGCAGAGCAGGATTGAAAAGGCTGTTTTTTTAAAAGGAATGACCTTTATAAACTAAATTTGAAATTGAAGAAAAAACTAAAATTGAAATTAAAGAAAAAACTAAAATTGAAATTAAAGAAAAAACTAAAATTGAAATTAAAGAAAAAACTAAAATTGAAATTAAAGAAAAAACTAAAAATGTTAAGATGGGGCCCATAATACCTTGCTACCTATTTAGTTTCAGGTGAAGATATTGTGTGTGGAATATTAAATTATTTGTTATAACTATTGAAACTTGTGTCACAGAAGAAACCTATCATTCCTTCCATGAGACAAGTTTTAAATACCTGACTAAAAATTAAATAATTCTACTAACATTGTCTTTATTCAAAGTTAAATAGGTATTTTTAGGCAGTACATAGGTGTAATTGTCCCTTCTAAACATTTTTAGTTTTTTTTTAATTTTCAATTTAGTTTACAAAGGTCATTCCTTTGGAAAAACAAGACTTTTTAATTCTGAACAGCACTCTACTATTTCCAAATCATCTTGTGAAATTAAAATTAAAAAGAGTTTTTTAAAATACAAAAGGTTGAATAAGCTTAATAGGGTAAAATAGACCAAATAAATCTCCATCTATTTTATTCTCTAACAACAAACTTTTTGGGTGAAATAGTCTGTAGAAATATTTTTTAAATTTTTGACAAGTGTGACTTTATTCTAAAAAAAAACCTTCAGCAAAAGCAATTTAAGTTTTAAATTACTAAACATTCAATGGTGCCCTTAGACTGAGTATAGCTTAGTATAAGACTTATACCTAACCTTTTTTTTACAAAATTCAATAATTTTGCTACTAAGGCTTAGTAGCAAAACTATTACATTAAAAAAAAGGTTCTCTAATCTCTCTACAAATATCTCTAAATATAGTGACTAAATCTCCCCAATTAAAGATCAGTTTGACCATTATATATCATGGTCAGGCTGATCTTTTGTTGTAATTTATTATTATCGATAATAATAAATTACAACAAAAAATCAGCTATATTTAGAGATATTTGTAGAGAGATTAGAGAACCTTTTTTTTTTAATGTAATAGTTTTGCTATTAAGCCTTAGTAGCAAAATTAGTAGCCTTAGACTAAAGCTACTAATTTTGTTATAATAGTTATAATATATATAATATAATTGTTTGTTTTGCTACTAAGGCTTAGTAGCAAAACAAACAATTATATTATATATATTATAACTGTTTGTTTTTAGCCTTAATACACTTAATGCTTCTTTTAATTAGTGAAAAAAAAAAATCATATCTTATATGGCATTAGTTAACTTATAAATTTATTTGTAATAACGAATTTTGTTTTTTTATTTAATTAAAAACGAAAACAAATTTCAAGTATTCATCTTATAACGATGAAAAAAAAAATACTTAATCGTTTATCTTACTTAGTGATGTGCCGGGTACCCGGTTCGGACCCGGGGACCCGGCAGTTCGGCTGTTTTACCGGGTACCCGGTATTGGCCATTTTGTTGCAGTACCCGGCAACGGGTATCTTCAAATTGATTTTTCCTTAAATTTAAACTTTAACTATTAAACTTCTTGATATAAGTCTAAGAATATTATGTAGTCGATAAAAACAAAGGTCTATTAACTTAAAACAATCTCACTTAAAATATTTTTTTAATACACTTTTGCAAAAAAATTTATACGGACACAAAAACTGTTACGCTAAATAAAATAATTCGAGAATACGAATAAAAAGAATAGGAAAAAAAGTTTTAGAATAGCTTCTTTTTATTCTGTTAGTACACAAGATAATTTTTAGCAATTTAGTTTTGAATGAAACGCTTATAATGCTTTCGAACGCTGATACCACTTTTCATTCGTATCAAGCAAAAATCATAAAAGTAGAGATATAAGGTAAATATTATACACATTTTTCATATTTTAATTTCGATAATAAATATAACAAAATATTATTTAGGCTCGCTCCACCAGGAAAGAAAAAAATTTTAAACTAAATATAGTTATTAAAAAACTGTTGCACAACTTACCCTGATCCCTTACCCTGCATTGCGGGGTTTTGCTAAATGGTACTTCCGCCACATAACTTTTGGTTAGTTAGCATAAAAAGGAATAGTTCAGCGCTAGAGATTTTACAAGTTTTTATTACAACTTTTAGAAAATGGACTCGGTACCGAGTACCCGGACTCGGACCCGGTTTTTTCAGCCGGGTACCCGGAATCGGAGACTCGGCATAAACTGGTTTCGGCACATCTCTAATCTTACTGTAATGTTACATGTTATTATATATATATACTGTAATGTTTGTTACATATAATATAAGTAACTTACATATAATAAAATAATAAAAATATTAAAAAAAAAAAAATTATTTCAGCTTGGGGGTCTTACGTACGTATGGGGGAGGGGGTTAATCAAAAAGGAACGAATGCGTAAGGGGGTGAGCAAAACTATGACTCAAAATGAGGTTTTGATTTTTCAAAAAACAAAGACTAGATATATTACTGAATTGGGGAGAAATGTAGGAGAGTGCTTCAACATTGACTAGTTTAGGGATAACATGCAAGGGAATGCTGCTACATCGACTGAGGGTTTGGGTTAAGACAGGTATAGATCAATCGATGTAGCAGCACTCTCCTACATTTCTCCTCAAATCAGTAATATATCTGGTTTTCGTTTTTTAAAAAAATCATAACCTTATTTTGAGTCATAGTATCTTTCGCTTACCGTGTAGGGGGTACAACGAGATGTCCGTGGTTAACACGTACATCTCGTTCCGCATACTTATAAAGGTATGTATAAATTGCATTTTATCTAGATGTTTTTTAAAAAGTAGAAAAGTCCAGCTATCATGTTACTTTTTTGTAAATTTATTGATTTTTATTTACTGTTTTCGCATGAAATAATCATCGAAGGAATGTTGAGTTTTTTTTAAAAAAAACTACTATCTATTATTTTCATACATACCTTCTATTCACCAACCAAATATCATCTAAAAAAAATGTATCGCAAATACCTTTCTACTCTTCGCAGAATAGGTACCTAATTTTTTTTTCTCTTACTTTAGAAAAGAGGGCTAGGGAAGGTTTGAAACTTAAATTTTTCGAAATAGTAATATTCTTTTGTTATTAATATGACAATATAAAAGACTTCTTTATTGTCATATTAATAACTTTTAAAATATTAAATTATTTATAATAATTATAACAATTAAAAACATTTAGAAAGATAATATATAAAATTCCAGTAAAGAAAGAAAAAAATGGAAGGAAGAAGAAAATGTTTCTAATATTATCTTGAACGAATGCTGAAACTTCTTGATGATGAATGCTGAATCTTCTTGACTCTACTCATAGTTTTTTTATTAGTTCCTCCTTGATAGTGGATATGCAGCTCTTCCTGTTAATGAGGGTACAGCTCTAAAACTTGGTTTAATGGTCTTTGGCCGGCTGGTAGTTAGGTTGAGAGCTACCACAGAGTTCGGGATTCTGTAGTTGTTCTATTTTTATGTTGGTGAATTGTACATGTTAGAAATCACGTAGATGCGTGTTGAAAATTACGCGTTATTTTATTGTTTAAACGATTGTAATTAAAATTATTGTCGTGGGACTTTTTTAATTTTGTATATATAGAGTGTATATTTTTTGTGTAGGATTAGAAAACTACAATAAATATTATTTTTTGTTTATTAGATTCATGGACGCGACGACTCAACAGTAGTAGTTCTCTGAGAGGCTGGTTAGGTATGATGGAGAGGTAGTTCTCTGAGATTTCATCAAAAGCTGCAAAATATCAGAGTATTTACATTGCCCTGTAGCGTATGGATGGTGTCCCGGTTAATGCTTTTGGTGCGCATTGTTGAGGCCACGCACCCACACAAGTAGCCCTAAGTTACGATTTATGGTTAATTAACTATGGTTAATTACGATTTATGGTTAATTGAATAGCTTATTGTTTAGGAGGCTGTGCTCAATCTATAAATGAGTCAAGTTCTCTTTAAATTTAAATTATACCAAAAGTAACTCAAAATATTAAACCTATAAAAAACCATTCTCACCACCTAACTGTTTTAATATATCTTTTAAAATATTCGTGGTCTACGAAGCAACCTTTCATCAGTTTGAATTTTAGCAAAATTCACCAGACTTGCTTGCTTTTAGTAAGACTAATTTAAATTCCTTCATCCTTCTTAAGGTCTCAATGTTGAAGGGTACTCTTCTTTAATTTGCAAAGACTCCAGTAGTAACATGTTTGCCTTATAAGTATATTTACGCATTATACTTACGAAATGCATTTATTTGTCGTGAAATCAGGTTCAAATCTTTTGATCGTTCTTTTATGTGTTTACGTTTAGCGCCTCTTTACTCTATTACCTTTCTCTTTGTTCTTTATAGTTCTCTTTTTTCCCAAGACTGCAATGCCCAAGACATTTAGATGTAATTTCTGATAAAATTGACCATACTCTCTCACTTTACCCCTCTACCAATATTGTTGTTATTGGTGACTTTAATGTTCATCACACTAAATGGCCAGGCTCGTTTTTTTTTATCTTTTTCAGAAAAAAAAAACTCACTAGAAAACAAACGGCTATTTATTGCAAGAAATTAAACTCTTTTATGGCTTGTG